CCGCGCGAACGACAACTAAACTAGACCGTCCATTCCTCCCCCTTCCCCATCATCCTTCTTAGTTATTCCCTTGCCCCTAATCCCTCCTGGGATTTCACTTTCGGGGTGTTATACGCCTCCCCTACACGCATGTACAAGGGCGGTCCCCACCCGGTGCGGCCGAGACCATGCCCTTCCTCCGCGGGGGTGCACCTCCTCCTCGTCATCGTGCGCCAGCCGCCCCCAAACTCGTCCCGCACCAAGCGCCCCACCCCGCTGCTGATAGACCCCATAGCGCAGCAACGAGATCGGGGGGGTAATACTCCTGCATGCGCGTCACGCCGTGGAATTGGATGTAAGCGGGCCAGTCCGGTGGGCGGGGGGAAGGTGAGGGGTTGGTGGGCGGGGAGGGTGGATTTGAAGTTGGGGAGGGGGAGGAGGGTGGTGAGGTCGAGGCGGCGGAGGATGTGCGTGAGTTGGGTGAATTGGGAGAGGAGGTGGGGTTTGTTGGGGGGAGAATTTGGTTCCGCCGGGGACGGGCGGGGCGGCGGCGATGGCGGTTTGGAGATTGCTGGCGAGGCGGTCTGCGTGGGTGGCTGCCCAGGTGTGCAGGCGCGTGGTGATGGTGTGGACGTGGGTGAAGAAGAAGTCGGCCCAGAGGTTGGCCACGCTGGGGAGGGGAGTGGTGCGGTTCGGGGTGGTGGCCGCGTAGTGGGCGGCGAGGACGGTGTCGAAGTGCGTGAAGGCGTCGTAGACTTGGTTGTAGGCTTTGCGGGCCCTGTCGGAGGGCGTGGGCATGCTGAAGTGGATCATGTCGCAGACCTTGAGGAGGTGTTCGGCGGCGAGGTCGATGTTTTGCAGTGCGTCGAGCTTCTTGTCGGCCCAGCGGCGGTCTGAGAGGGGGACCATGCCTGCCCAGAGGCGCTGTCGGCACATTTCGAGTTCGAAGTCGATGTCTGATAGCAGATCGAAGCCGCCAGCGGAGAAGAGTGATTTGACGTCGGTTAGGTCGGGCAGGCCGGCGAAGCAAAGAGAGAACCGGGTCATCGCCGCATCGCCGCGGAGGGAGTTGTTGTTGTACGGCGGCGGAGCCCAGTCATTGTACGGCTTCGCCATCTTGGAGATTTCGTCGGATGAGAGCGTTGGCAGCGTCGTCAGCTGGCCGTTGGGTAGTGTGTGGTTCGCAAGGAACTCCATGAATCTACCCATGGTCGCAACCGGGAGTGGCGTCTCATGAACCCAGATCTCGTTGCCCGTCTGGGGCTCATTGATGGGGTTGACTAGACCGATTGTTTTGCCGGTCGGGCCGTTTGGGTTCGGCCATGCTCGGCGAGACATGGCAATGAACCTAGCGTTTGTTGTTGCAAACACAGCACGTTGTTGAACTGGTCGTGAGAAGCTCCAGTTGTTGCTGCGTGCCGCGACTGCCGCGCATCGGCGTAGGGACATGCCCATTATGAAGGAAGAAACCGCTCGCTGCATTTTCCGACACCTCAGCTAGGTATTCCCGCTTGGTCAACCAGGGCATCCTCGTCAGACAATGCGGTATTTTATTATTCTGGACCGCTGGCTTGACAAAAACGCTGTGTGTCGCCGAGACAACGAGCCAACATGATGAGATCAGTTGGATCTGATGTTTTTGTGTATTCAAGTCGATGTAACTATCCAAAGTTACGAGTTTTAGCTTCAGATTTATCTCAATTTTGCAACATGCTTTGGCAAACCCAACCCCCTCACAACCCCAACTCGTCCCCATCGCCCAAAAGAAGCATGCCAAGGATTTCCCCACAGAGATCGTGCGGGGATTCAACGCGGGCGCTGGCCGGTTCGGGCCCGTCTCCATATTCCCCATCTGGACCCTTGCCGGACCTGCTCGAATCTGGCATCTCGGGAAGGCCGCTCCGGAGGACAACGCGACACTTTGACCGAGTCCCGACGCATGGACGCCCTATTTACTGGCGTTTACGGCCAATTCCATGGACAATGTCTTCAATTGCTAAGTGTCTTCGTTTTTAGGACCGCTGGTTGATTTTCTCTCTCTTTTCAACGTTGATTGTCGATCAAAACTTGAACTCGGGTCCCGGTCCAAGAACTTGGCCGAGTTTGTTGATCCTCCTCCCTTTCCACTCCACAACCCGGACTTAACCCTGTGATACCCACCACCACCACCACCACCACCATGAAGCTCGAAATCCTCTTCACAGCCGCCTGGCTGGCGGCCACCACCACGGCCATCGGCCCCGCCACACCAGAACAGCCGCCCCGGCTCCAAGGCAAAGCCGAACGGATGGCCAACTGGCGCTGGCCCAACCCCTTCGCCTCCGCGGAGCACAAGAAATTCACCGCCGCCTGCGACGTGCTCAAATCCTTCAAGGCGAGCGAATTCATGCTCGACGACCTGGCCGTCAAGGCCCCCAAGGGCCTGCTCGAGTACCGCGACGCGCTCAAGGAGGTCTTCGCCACGCGCGAGTACCCGGGAAGCTGGGAGGGCATCGACCCCCACGGCTACGACCGCGACCTGCTCAGCATGGACTACGACGACATGCCGCTCAAGGTGCGCGAGTGGATCGAGGAGCAGGAGCGCACCGATGGGCCTGGTAAGGGGCTGTTTGCCGTGTACATGCGCCCCATGCCAGGGACCAGGGTGTTGCATACCATCAAGGTGCCCGAGGCGCCGGTTACGGAGGAGTGGCGCGCGCGGGATGAGGTGCGGGTGGCTATCTTTGCGCCCGGTGCGGTGTATGAGACGGCGCCGTTGTGGGTGGCCGAGGGGAGCAAGTGCGAGGGTAAGTTCTTAGTCCCACAGTTTCCTTCGTTTGGTGGTTGCTAACGTTGAAAACCTGCAGGTCCGCTTCTCGACCTCTCCAAGTACAGCGGCAAGCTCGTCGACGGCGGTGTCGTTGCGTACCCCATCCACCACAGCATGCCCAAGCGTGCCCGGGGCGAGCGGGATATTGAGTTCCAGATTCAGGCGCAGGTTCTGCAGCTGAACGAGGGTGAAGAAGCGGCGAGTGAGAAGACCGAAGAGGCTGAAAAGGTTGAGAAGAAGGAGAGCACCGAGAAGGAGGAACTCTGATTTGCGTCAACCGGCATTAGAGGAGAGGAAAAAAGACGAAAAGGCGAACATTACACACCGACTATGCACCCATACTACATTTCCTTTGTTGCATCTTACGCATATTACGAATAACTACCATTTAACTATACTCGAAATACCACACACACCTTCCCAAGTCATCGTGGCGATACCTTGAGCTTTACATCAGTAAATATCCCACATTTTACCACAAGCATGTCAAGGCTATGACATGATTCCTTCGCGGAACGCATCTTAGACATCAACTGCGCGTCTTTATGATGAGAACGTGAAGGTGATGTAGCCTTCCCATAGAAACTACAGAGCTGGGCAGATGCGGCCACCCAATGTCCTTTTGCTTTTATGTGGCCCATTTCTATAACTCAAAGTTTGTCCCAGGAGTTGGGTTTCGTTTTGTGCCCAATTTGTGTTCATTTCCACCATCCTCTCTTGTACTTCGAGATCGTCCCAGGACTATCAACCCGAGAACGTTCAATGGCCGGAGAGACATCCCTGCTACCAAAGTGTGTGATCCCGCCCACGGTCCTCGATTCCGTAATTGGTTGGTGCGCTTAACTATATTTATTAGCCGCGTTAGTTGGAGAAACCAAAATTGCCGTCTCTCGTTGCCGCTCCTTTTCAGGATATAACAATCCCCAGTAGGGTGCTTTTCAGCGCTTGTTTTCTTACGTTGGAGTTCCATGCATGACCATAACGTTGTTCTATTCAGGTTCATGGCAACTTCCTTCATCTTTTCTATCACCTAATAACTAGCGCAAACTCATAGTTACCCACTCACGACCATGCGACCGTCGTGCCTCTTCTGGGGTTTGACCGGCTCACTTCGGGCTGTGGAAGCCCTATCCCCAACAGTAACCCTAAAAGATGCTGTCTATATCGGCACCACCACACAGGTCGCTTCGGCCACGACTATTGTGGACAAGTTTCTGGGTATCCGCTATGCGGATACCCCTAAAAGATTCCGCGCTGCCCGTCCTCGGCCTCCGGGATCGCTGCTTGTAAATGCCACAAAGCAACCACCGGCATGCATCCAACAATGTAAGAAACCCTTAACCCCATTGCAGAGACTCCAATGTTCGGAGCCTTGCCAACTGACCTGAGACAATAGCAAGTTCTGGAGATTCGGCTGAGAGTGAAGACTGCCTCTTTCTAAACGTCTTTGCGCCGCACATTGGCTGCGGCAAGCCCAAAGCCAAAAGAGCTGTCATGCTGTGGTTTTATGGCGGGGCTTTATCGTTCGGCTCCATCAGGGAGGTCGACGGCTCGTCCTTCGCTGCCAAGCAAGACATTATCCTTGTGGCCTGCAACTATCGTTTGGGGGTCTTCGGCTTTCCCGGAAATGTATCTGGGTTCCGACCTGACGAGCTTAACCCTGGATTCCGCGACCAGAAGATGGCATTGAGGTGGATCCAAGAGAATATCGCTCGCTTTGGCGGTGATCCGACCAAGGTGACCATATTTGGCGAATCGGCCGGCGCCGTGTCCGTTGATAGTCATCTCATCAGCGAGCTTGGCGACCACCCGCCCTTTCGAGCTGCCATCCTGCAGAGCGGCGGTCTTCACACTTTCAACCGGATCGCATTAGGCGTGGGCGTCTCAGTAACCGGCTTGGGGACTGGAAACAAGCCTGGGGAAGCCCCGTTCCTGACACTGGCCAAGCATATGAACTGCAGCGAGGAGGATCCGGTATCGTGTCTCCAATCCAAGCCCCTGGCGGCGGTAAAGTCTGCCGTCCTCAATCTGAATCTCTTATTTGCACCAGTCGACGACGGGGCCAAGACAAGCGTGGCTGATACAGACTCGGCGCGGCGAGCAGGGCGGACTGCCAAGGTACCTGTGCTCATCGGGAGCACCTTCATGGAAGGCAACATCTTCCCAGCCGCAGCGCTACAACAAAAGACCGTGGGGGGCTGGGCGGATGTGATTTACCCTGACAACCCAGCCGCAGCGTCTGCTATTGCGGACGCATACGCTGTCGGCTCTAGCTGGCAAACTGGAACCCCTGACGAAGCAGTCAGGCTGCTCCATTCCGATTTCCAATTTGCCTGTACCACCACGTACGACAGCAACATGATGGCTAGCATTGGCATACGTAAGCGCTTACCTACCCCACTAACTTGCACGGTGTAGATGAGGATGCTAACGCTGTAACTAGCAACCCGGCGGTACCTTTTCAACGCCTCCCTCCCGAGCGGACTTGCATCCCACGGCAGCGAGATCAGTTTTGTCTTTGGGAGTGATCAAAGCACTCCAGCCAACCAAGCGTTGGGTGCGAAAATACAAAAGGCATGGGCCGACTTTGCTAAGAACCCATCGTCAGGCCCTGGATGGGTAAAATACGTCCCTGATACGCCTTCTCTTGCGGATCTCGGTGGAGAGGGGGACCGCGCTTCTATCACTGTAATCGATCCGGTTGTGGTGGATTCCAGGTGCAGCGTCTTTTGGGATGCTTATGATCCTAGTAGACCTAGGTAAAGTATGGGGTAGAGAATACCTAGCCATAAAACACTTTACACAATCCATCTAGCGCCCCAAAAGAGAATATTTCCAGGAATGAGACCTTACTAGAAGCCACCGCGATGACCGCTGGAAGACATGTCCGATAAACCTGGGCCCTAGGAAGGGAACCCTGTTGGCCACAGAGCAAAAGAGCACATAGGTACCTACCTACTTAAATTAACATGTGTCGCGGATATTAAATCCGACCAAAAAGACGCCACTTGGTTGGTCCGATTCATACTATTTCCATGGCCCCCTAGCGGCCTCACCAGATGACTCCCATCTCAGATGACTTCCATCTCAATATCCGTAAATCCATGTATACCGCTGATCACCTCTCCGCTTTGTACTGCCCTGCTCATTGATGAAGTCGTCCTCAGTCCAAGTGGACGTGATCTTCTTCCTCTTTCTGTTCTCCCACATGTACATGCCTCGCACGAACAGAAACCCAAGCATACCAACAGCATTCAGAATCATAGTGACGGTCAATGGGTATGCGTAGCTGGGAGCATATTTGCTCTTGAACAGCTGCCCAGCGATAACGCCAGCCAAGTTGGAATAGCCGTTCAGACCGAGTACAAAGGACCGGGAGGCTTTCCACGGCGTGTTGCCCGCCAACCACACAGCAACAAGCGGGCCGCTCGCGAACACGCCGGAGAGGCACACATGGGCGAACCCATAGCGGAGCTTAGGGTCAGAGGAAGCAACCATGACGGCACATCCAATCAGCCCCAAGAGCATGCCGAACACGGTGTGTAGCGAGCGTTCGTGGAAATAATCCGACGAGTAGACAATAATGAGCAGACCAACGACGCCGACGGCGAACGGTGGGACGGACATCAACGTTGCCGTCACGCCGCGGTAGTCCATGCCCTGGACAATGAGCGGGAGGAATGTGGTAAAGGCTGTGACAGGCTAGTTGGTGTTCAGTGTCTGTTAGTCAAATCCCTTTCGCAAACAAATGCCCCAAGAGGGAAAGATCCGGAAAGGGGCAGAGAAAAGCCAAACTCACCAACACAGCCGTGATATTGCACACAATAATCAGCATCTTCCTCCAATCCTTCAGCACATCCAGCAAATCCCTCGCCTTCACCCCCATTCCCCTCCCCCTCCCCCTCCCTCACCCCCGCCAAATCCCTCTCCATCCTCCCCGCCGCATGCTCCCTCTCCCTCTCCCCGAAAAACCACGCCCTACCCACCCCCCCAGGCAACACCACAAACGCCACCACCGCCACCAACACCGTCACGCCCCCCTCCACCAAAAACACCACCTGCCACCCCCTCACCCCACCCCCCTCCACCTTCAACAACCCATACGCAATCAACCCCGCAAACGCCCCCGCCACCGCATACATCCCCGTAAACAGGCCCATCCGGAACCCCAGCGCAAACTTGGGGTACAGCAGCGACATGTAATAAAACGCCGTCTGCGTGAAGCCGGCCTCGGCCGCGCCCAGGAGGAGGCGCAGCGCGACGAGCGTGCCCGAGGAGCGGATGGCGGCGTGTGCCATGCAGAGAGAGCCCCAGACGAGCAGTTGCAGGGGGAGGAAGCGGTGCGGGCCGATGCGTCGCGCGAGGAGGGCTGCGAGGGGCTGGAGCGGGACGTACGTTGCGGAGAACTGGAGGGGTGGGGGGTTTTAGTAAATGTGGGTGGTTAGGGGGGGTTGGGAAGGAGGGTGGGCAAGGGGCGAGGCACGGGGATGGTGGTGGGGGGGCATACTAGGGAGAGGGAGTTGGGAATGTCGTCTGGGTGGAGGTTGGCGTCCTTGACGAAGCTGCTTGTTGCTACGAAGCCGACGTTGGTTTTGTCGATGCCGCAGAGCTGGACGTAATGTTAGCATGGTGGTCGGTGGCACCCAGGTTTGGTTGTCTTACAATGAAGCTGATGGATAAAATTAATAGGACAGTGATATCCAGCTTCCAGTTTACCCTCTTGTCCAGGTCGCTCTCTTCTTCGTTAACCGGGGCATAATGGGTGACGACCGCTTCAGGCAGGACAGCCTTCGCGTCCTCGACTTCGACCTCGGTCGCCTTCCCAACTTCTGGGCTGGTGATATCGTTGGGGGCCATGTTGACCATCAAAAGGTTGCATGCACCAAGGGACCCTTAAGAAGATGAACTGCTTTGCGCACTTGGATGGGGATGGGCGGGCTTATGTAAAGACGCATTCCCATACTCCTAACTATGGTAAGGTGAAAGTCACAAGGCGAGCAACAAGCGACAGTCCTCTGTTTTCCAACGAAGTTCATTACCGTCCCCTCCTGGGAAATTCACGTCAGTCGCCCAACCTCGGAGAGCTAGCCTCGGTCTTTGTGAGGAGGGGAATCGGCACCAAATCAACATGAGGGGTAGGCAAGGTAGTTCATTAGCTGATCGCCCCTGCTTCTCACGCGCTCCAATCCCTTGCTTCCCAAACTGCTACCCCGACTCCGAGCCCGGCATTTGGGCCCGGCAACCTGGTTTCGTGAAGGAGGTCAAACCATTTAGCCGCCTCTCAATACTGAACTGGTGTAGGATTCATTGGGTGGCTGTAACATACTTCGTGACCTCGGGGTTGACGGACGATGTTACGTTGAGCTCTGGTTGGGACTCGGGTCTTTATTTCCGTTGCTTATTTTCACGTCCGCGTTGAAAAGCAGCCCGTTCCTGTGACCACGCTTGACGAACCGCCAAATGTTCAAGGAGCAACCCAAACGGTGAGACCTAACCGTGCAACAGCATGGCTGCAGCTAAGACAATCACCTGTCCTTTTATGGCGACCAAGCTACTCTCGCAAGAACGCATCGACACCTCGCCAGCCGTCATCAGCGACAACGTCGACGAGATTCTCAAAGAATACGACATCCTCCGCGAAGCATGTCCCGTAGCCTACACGAACCAGTACGGCGGGTACTGGCTCATGACCCGCTACGACGACATCAAGGCCGCCGCTCTCGACTCCGACACCTTCATCTCCTCCGTGCGCGCCGTCATACCCTCCGACCCGCGCGGCCTGCGCCGGCCGCCCCTGAACTTCGACGCACCCAACCACACCCCCTACCGCACAGCCCTAGACCGGACCCTTAAACCGGCGCGGATCAAGCGCCTCGCGGAGCCCCTGGAGCGCCACGCCGAGGAATTGTTATTGCCGTTGCTTAAGAAAGGAGAGGGGGACATATGCACCGAGTTTGCTGCGCAGTTCGCGGCGTGGGTCGAGACGGAGTGGCTGAACCTGGCACGCGACACGGCGCCGCGGTTGGCGAGCACCGCTTCAGCGTGGGTAAACGCGTGGCGCCAGAGGGATGGCGAGAAGACGACCCATTTTAGCACCCAGCTTTACGATATTGCGCGGGCTGTCCTGGCAGATCGGAGAGAGAATCCGAGAGATCCAGAGGAAGATCCTGCGAGTAGTCTGTTGTTGGAGAGGGATAGCCGTGGGGAGCCGTTGGAAGAGATTCACCTTGTGTAAGATGCCTTTTCTGAGGGATTGAATGGGGGGTGCGGAACCTAGCTGACGGCAGACAGAGGGTGTATCCGACAAAGCTTGGTTGTGGGGATGGTAGCACCACCACTGATGCTCGGCGGCATCTGCAACCACCTCTCCAAGAACCAAGAGCTCCAACAGCGTCTCAGGGATGATCCGACCTTGATCCCTGCCGCTATTGAGGAGTTTGTGAGACTCTTCAGTCCGTACCGAGGTTTCGCTAGGACAGTGTCCAAGGAGACAGTGATCCACGGCCAAACCATCAAGCCCGGCATTCCCATCACGCTCACTTATAGCGCGGCAAACCGTGACCCGGCGGTTTTTGATAGTCCTCACGAGTTTATTTTGAATAGACCCAACATTGCAATGCATATGGGGTTCGGCAGGGGGAGGCATCGTTGTGTTGGTCAGCCTCTCGCAAAACTGTGGGTTGACCATTCATTCTCTTTCGTTCGAGCTGTGGTATCTTCGGATGTATCCGGGCTAAAAAATTATTAGTGCTTTGCAGACGGCATTAAAAACATTGTTGTCAAAGACAACAAAATTTGAGGTCAATGGGGAGATGCAGTTCTCAAGGATGCCCGAGATGGGCATCATCAGCTGTCCCTTAACCTTCAAGATTGAGTAAAGTACAGAGCGCACAGAGCCAGGAAAACTACCCAAGTGATGGATAGTAAATAGACACTCGTCGTGGACAACTCTCAGGTCTTCAGGTAACAACTACAACCATCTAATAGTTTGCTACAGGCCTAGAGCCCACTGTTGAGACAATCATGACTCCTTTGCATTGAACGCGGTCGTGTCTTGGAATCAGTCAAGAGGCCTGATCTTCTGGGACACATCAGGCTAAAAATGCTAGAGAAGCAAGCTGAAGGGACCGAAGCCCTTGCGAAGCTATCCACCCTTGGAGCTTTTCTTTTCTTGTCTGTTGTCCTTGCCCCCCAAGACGCTAGAACAAGTTGCGAAACGTGATGAATGAAGAAGATGGATTGATCCCGGCTCCGGCGTTCAATTTGCACCACCACTTTAGGGGAAGTCTTAACGGAGGGGAAGGTAGGCAATTCACGTCATGCTTGTCCACGGCAGAAACCTGACGATCTTGTGACAGGCAAGTCATCTGATATTCCAAAAGCTAAGAATACCTAGGTATGTATTGGCATGGGTGAGAATTGATGGGGCTGGCGAGGGTTGAAGACTAGGGTTACACCATGGGCCTTGTAGACGAGCTAGCCACAACCCCAAGCCCCGTTGAAGGGACTCCCTTCCACACCCCGACCCCAACACCTTACGGTAAGCATTGGCCTGTGATTCATTGGTAAGCCATATATTGTTATAAAGAAGACGAAGGACAAAGGCAACTTACTATACCACTGGTTGCTTGCCTTGCAGGTCCCGGAGGCACAAGTGGTAGGGCCAGTCCACCCGCTCCCACCGCATTGTCCATACAGTGCCGCCGTCGCGCCGCTGCCACCACCGCTCGGGTTTGAGGGACCGGAGCCCGATGAGCCACTACAAATGAATGGGCGAGGCCCTTGATGCGCATCAGGAATTGCTCACATTTACCAAGCGGCGGAGGGTAGTCTTACCGGGGATACTATAGCTCGACGGATACGGTTGGCCATTGTTGTTGTAGATGTTGACGACGATACCCGGGTCAGATTTCTGTGTGGCTAACGTCAGTACAAATAGGAAACCCTCTCCACGGTACCTTGGGTAAGTTTTGCCATACCGAATAAGCACCTGGCAAGGACACGGTGGCGGGCTTTTCAGTTCCGGTGCCTCCAGTGACGCGGATCTGGGCACATTCCATCTGCGAGGGACATTAATCAGTACGGTGCGGTTGTAGAATGCGTCATTGGACTTACGTAGAACTGCGCACCGCCTTGGCTATAAGCGGAGTGGAGGGCGAGGATCTCGAAACGCAAGAGATAATCGCCGTTCTCAATGCAGGTCGGAATCTTGGCCTTTTGGATACCACCGGAGGCAATCTGCAGGCAATCATCAGTAAGACTTCAGGGTCCGTGTCCATCTGGGAAGAAAGACAAAAAGACTCTTTCAAATCTATTTGAACGGACATACCACAGTGTCGACACCCCACCTGCCGTTGTTCAAACCCTCCTCGGCGATCTTGAACCAACCTCCACCTGGGCCGGCCCATGGGTTCTGGGTAGCATCCGATACCTTCTTCATCCAGACGCTAACGGGTCCCTACATGTCATACCATATCAGCTGAAGTCCTCAAGGTAAACCGGGACAGCAGCGTCATCGTACCTTGTGGCTGGAGTCGATGACTTTGTTGTCGGCGGTGGAGTCTGGCCCGGTGCCTATGACCACGTCAGTCCTAGCCATGTCTGCCTGGAGCGTGTCTGCTCTGTGTTGTCCTTACTGGTCAGAGTATGCAGCCAGGCTCCAGTGACTTCGGAACCAGCCTGCACGGTAAACACCTGCGACGAGGACCGGAAAGAAGTAACAGGGGGTCCGTTGCAGGCAATTGAGTTGGAGTTGACATCCGAAATGAACTACACCGAGTGTTAGCGACAAGTCAAGAAGTCAGGCAGCCAGTATGGAAGGTGTGAAAAGGTCAATCGTACCGAGTCGTCGCTAGGCATGTAGATTCCCGCGCCCTGAGGATTGCCGTTGAAGGATTGCATGATCGTGTGGGCCTGGGCCGCACCGATAAGGTGGAAGACGGTTGAGGACTTCATCTTCGGCTCTGCGAACACGCGTCAATGGAGGTGTGAGGGGCGAGAGGACACTGAAGCTAGGGAGACTTTTACGAAATCATTCTGAATAAGGGGAAAGGAGGGCTTATATAGACATAAGCACATCAGGAATTATCATTTCGTCTGTTTGGGTTTAAACAAGGCGCCTGGAGGGGTGGACACTGATATCCAATGACAACACAACATCCCTTTTCTCCGTGTGTTGGACGAGGCCGGAGCTTCCCCGTCCGCCCTACGGCCCCTGGATCCCCGCACGACGTTTGCCAAAGGTATTCGGAATGTCCTGCCCGTTCTCGGGCCTTCTTAGACAACGCGCCGTCGGCATTCAGGCCTTCGGTTGACGAAAGAGCAGCAAGCACTCTACGAATTAGGTTAGTGATTCAGAACGTCTAATCCGTAACAAGGTATGTGTGAACTTAAGGTAACGAGTCTCAATGAGGAAGGGAAGGAAACCAAGGAGCGCACAAACGGGGTAGATTGATGTGTTGGATGCGTCCCAAAATCACACCGGTTACATATTAAACATCTGGTCAAGTTCATGAGAGTTCGGTCCGACACGCGGCTGGAAAAGTGTGATGCTAGAATGACATGGGGAATGTGATTTTCAGAGACACCTCCATGTCGTCCGGGTTATTCACTCCGTTTTGTAGCGTTTGTTTTCCAACCCCAAAGGTCCACAAAATGCCAGACAGGTACAATTATTGGATTGGGGCCAGGGAGGGCGGAAGGCTCGCATTTCCAAACGCCTCTATGACGAGTTCGAGTCCCACAAGGAGTTCGAGATACGTTTTCCTTTCCTAAGATGTACCTTAGTCGTTTACGAACAAGAACCATCGGTGAGCTGCGGGTTGGTCAACGTTAGCGACTTGCAATTTATGTATCTCGGATGCTCGCCCCTAGTTTATTTTCAGCTTCAGCAGCGGGTTCATGAATTAATATCATCTATGGACACCACCATGGATCGGATCGGCGATCTCCAGCTTTCCCGAGTTGGTGCTGCTGCCTGGGGTGGTTGGCTCTCGTTGGCTCTCGTTGGCCACAACATTTTCTTTTCCCCACAACCAAGACACTCCCAACTTATCGGTGAGCCCGGAGCATCGCCTTCCGTATGCCTCGCCCGCTCAGCGACCAGTGACACCACCAATATGTTTTGGAAGCTACCGCGTGAAGTATTCGACTTGATCATCGGCCAAGTTTGTCCGCCTTCCCATTCACCCGTAGAGATATGACTGACCCGGAGTTACTTGATTGCAGCTTCCACACAATGACCTTGTTGCTTTATCTGCCGCATCCAAAACCCTACGCGCCGTCCTTTCCACCATTATCTGGAAGAAAATCCGTGTCGATGTGCAGAGTCGCGGTGCGAGCCTACACCAACCTAGGGTGGATGGTGAAGCGGTGGCACGATGCGCCGCAACCCTCCGCCAACCTTCGACAGCCCTTCGCGAGGCCACCCAGCTGGACCTGCAATGCGGCTTTGCCAATCGCCACTACTTGGGGACGCCATGCCCCCATCCTCTTCCCGGGAGTGGAGAAGACCAGGCAGGCCGCCCGCTCATACAACTGACAGAAGCCCAGGAAAAACGTAGAGCAGCACACCGAGCAGAGCGAGAGGCTCATTACAGGTCCGTGGTGGAAAATGCACAATTAATCATCGAGTCCCTGGAGAAAGGGCAGCTACAAGGGTTCAGGTAACATACCTAACGCTCAACACTAAGCGCCAAACCGCGCATTCATGAGATTCTGACCGGGTATATGACTAGCTGGGATTTGGTGACCTGTGTGCCCCCTTCCATCATCAAGGCGTTGGCAGAACATCATCCGCATATCACCTCCCTCCGCTTAACTACAGACTGCATGTGCCCCGGCCCCCCGGGAGCTGAGACCGGCGTTGTCGACTTGACCCCCTTCCGATGCCTCAAGTGTATCTCTTGGAAGGGCCTCCCACCATACAACGCCCGCCAACTACGAGAAGCAATCAGAGACAATCAACACCACCTCGAGGAGCTGGAGCTAGATCTCCACAATATATATCCCCCGCTACCTCCCAGCTCCGACCGTTGGTGGCAGAACCCTTCCCAGTTCTTCCCGGAAGAGGAGCGGTTCCGGGATGACATCCTGGCAATGAGACCCTATCGTTCGCTAGGGCCCGCTTTCCCCGCGCTTCGCGTCCTTCGTCTTCGATTGACACCACTCGACCTTGGAAACACGAGAAGGACATTGTGCCGCATCATCAATTTCGCAGCGCTAGAGTCGCTTACCCTATGGCATTGCCGCGGCTGGGAAGGGTTCTTGGAGGTCGTTAGAGGGTCAATGTCAGGGAAGTCTGTCAAACTCCGCACGCTCGAAGTTAAATGTGACGAGCACAACAGCGGGCGCGGGATTACAGCGATTAGCAGCCTGCTCCTTTCCTGTAGGGGCCTTGTCGACCTGTTTGTGAGTGTTTCGAATTCGGGGACATGCGAAAATCCGGGACCAAGCGTCTGGTACGCTCTTCAGCATCTCCAAGACACCCTGAAACGGCTGGTCATTCACTGGAGGGCTGATTTCGGGTGTCGACCCCGTTATGTTCGTGACTCCCACGTCTTGGGGCTTTCGATGGCGCAACTTAGATATGAACCACTGGGAGGCTTGGGTCTGGAATGCTTGGGCCTGTGCTGCGATCCAGAGTTATTGGTTAGTCGGGCAGTCACTACTTTCCCTTGCTCGGAGCCGCTCCGGTACCCATAGACAGTTCACTGACGCAATCTCCACGGTACAGCCAATGCTTCTTCGACCCTTCACGTTTAGGCCCAAGCTCAAGATATTTCACCTTCGACAAACTGGAGCTGATCTCAACCGGGGCGAGGATTGCCTCGCCTTGGACCTCCCCCGAGTTGACGAGCCTGGCTGCAGACCCAGGGAGCGCCACCGCGTAACAAGTTTACGGGCCTTGGAATACGATACGCTAGAAGACGCACTGCAAGACTCGTTCCGTGCTCTGCTTGATTGGGCATTTGGACCGAACGGAATAGCCTCCCTGGAGGTGGTTGCGTTCGGCGACTTTGGCCAGGGGCGCAACAAGTTGTATTTGCATAACCTTTTCGTTTGCCGGACCAAGAGCGCTGAAGAGAACAATGGCCTCCCGTACCGCGTGTTTGATGCGCGGGATCGGAAACATGAACACAGGTGGGCAGCGACCGTTCGTCCGCATTGGTCGTTCCTCGAGGCCTGTCCTGTTGCTTCTTTTCAGCCGGATTCGTATTACCATTTTTAGAAGAAGTTGTGGGGAGGATATCGTTATCTGTACGCTTGGTCATGTCACAGCCGACTCGGGGACTTTGTTAGAGAATGGGAAATCGCTGTCTCACAACACCAGCCTATGGCTTGGACAACTCCAAAAAGATATTCGGCACTGATGATCTCTCCCACCGGGAATTGAACCCGGGTCTCGAGCGTGACAAGCTCACATACTGACCACTATACTATGGAAGACTAGGGAGTGTGGGCACTCGCTATAGCCTGGGCTGGTTGTTGGCGAGGGACCAGGGGCAGCAGTTTAAAAAGGCGAAGAAATTTTCAGCTAGCCGTTCTGTGTCGTTGACTGGTTCCACTGTCCCCACAACAACTTACTCGTAACTCCGCCGGCGAGATGGTAGCCTCGGCCCCTAGGTTCCACTTAGGGTTCCCAAGTGGAAGAGTATTGCAAGTGTACAGGCTGGCCTGCCCCAAGGCTCGCCCCTCTCCCCTATCTTGTTCCTCTTTTTCAACGCGGATCTGGTCCAGCGAAAGATCGATAGCAACGGTGGTGCAATAGCCTTTGTCGATGACTTTACCGCCTGGGTCACAGGACCGACGGCACAAAGCACACGCAAGGGCATCGAAGCAATCATCGACCAAGCACTAGACTGGGAAAAGAGAAGCGGAGCGACATTTGAAGCAGACAAGACAGCCGTCATCCACTTTACCCGCAAGGCCTATAAAGCCAACTCGGAGCCCTTTACGATCAAGGGTCAAGATGTTCAGCCGAAAGACCACGTTAAGATCCTTGGAGTGGTCATGGATGCCAAGCTCAGGTATAAGGAGCATATCGCAAGAGCGGCCTCCAAAGGGCTCAGCGCGGCGATGGAGCTGAAACGGCTCAGTGGTCTATCCCCGGCTACGGCGCGGCAGCTGTTCACCGCCATGGTCGCGCCAGTGGTGGACTACGCATCCAGCGTCTGGATGCACCAATGCAATTGGAAGACCGTGCCGGCCATACACAGGGTGCAGAGGGTCGCGGCGCAAGGGATCATAGGAACGTTCAGCACGGTAGCAACACGCGTAGCAGAAGCAGAAGCTCACATCCCCACGGCTCAAGATCGATTCTGGAAGAGGGCGATCAAGATGTGGACGGACATCCACACCCTACCAGAGACGAATCCACTCCGCAACACCACTTCCCGGATGCGCAAGTTCCGGAGATCCTACCGCTCCCCTTTCTTTCAAGTAGCAGATCTCCTCAAGGACGTCCCATTGGACAGCCTCGAAACCATCGCTCCCGTCGTATTAGCGCCATGGGAGAGGCGAGTCCGCACTACGGTTGACAGAACGGGCATCCAGCAAAAAAAGACAGAGTGGGCGGTCCGGATCGCCGTAAGCAGCTCCGCACGAAACAACATGGTCGGGATCGGAGGAGTCGTCCGTCTCCCGCTGCCGATGCGAGATGGCTCAAGGAACGAAGCCTTTAGTGTGACGCTGGGCTCCAGGTCGGAGCAAAACCCGTTCTCAGGCGAGCTTGCGGCTATTGGGTACGCGTTGAGGTTGATTCGAAATATCAGGTACCGAAAGATCATCCTTGCCACCAGCAACAAGGCAGCCGTGATGGCCTTGGAGCGACCACACCAGCAATCAGGACAACAATATCTCTGTCAGGCGTACGATGCGATAAGTGCCTTACGCAAGGCGGGAAACACGATCTCGGTCGTCTGGATCCAAGCGGGTACCAAAAACGAGCTCCTGAACACAGCCAAAGCGAAATCAAGGGAAGCAACGCGGCAGGACGCTACGCCACAAACGCAGGATCCTGCCATGCGGTCAACAGCCCTCCGTATCGCATGGGCAAAGCGGGCACCGCCCACGTCCTTACCTGACAAAGTGGGGCAGACATTCCAAGAGAGTCGATATAGCGTTACCAGGGAAGCACACCCAACTATTATACGACCACCTGTCCCGAAGCGAGGCCGGCGTGCTTGCTCAGCTTAGAACAGGCATGGCCAAGCTCAACACATACCTGCATCGCATCAAAGCAGCACCGTCAGACCAGTGTACGTGTGGACAAGCCAGAGAGACAGTGAACCACTTCCTCTTCCGATGCAAGCAATGGGATCAACACCGTAGGGAGATGCTGCAATGTACGGATGTCCACAGGGGGAACCTCTCCTTCTACCTGGGAGGAAAGTCGCCCTCGGATGACAAGGACTGGTCCCCCAACATGCGGGCGGTGCGGGCGACGATACGTTTTGCCATTGCCACAGGTCGTCTGAGGACTGAACAACAACAGAATGAAGCAAACTAACCTCACCATCCTAAACCCCGACTAACAACCCCCTTCATCTCGTGTCACACGGAGTAAGCGCGCTTCAGCCGCCGAAGATAGGACGTTGGACACTTGGAGACTAGCCTTCAAGCCAGCTTACTATTCGTACAACTAACCCACGAGCATCCGCAGCAGAGAGGGCAGAATTGTAAGGAGATAAGCCAGAAAAGGAGGATGTACGGGCTTCATGAGATCAGGATCCATTTTAGGATATGTATTAGTAGATTGCATGATAGTTGCCCTTTCGGGTTAGGCCCGCCGGGCGGAATAAATTGTGTGTGTGTGTGTGTGTGTGTGTGTGTACAGTAGATTGCCCCTTGTTACTTTTCTAGATGGCCCCGGGACGAACTTAGAATAGCTCTCAGTAGCACGTCTGAGCCGCAAATGCCAATATTGTGGATCCACGGATAGTTAGTTGTGAATTTGGAGAATAATATAAAGGCTTCGGGCTAGGCCGACGTGGGGCCATTCGTGAACTTATCCAGGAATCAGCGGCAGATGTATATGGTCATTAAAAGGCTTATCAAGAGCTTATAGGTTGTAAAGGTAGCAGCCCACCTACCTAGGTAGGTACCTAGGCAGTTACCGAGGAACAGGAGTTACTAAAAACTCACCCTCTTAGTCTCAGCAACTCCCAATGCGGTTACGACCAACTCCTGAGTCCTGAAAGAAAACCCGGGCTAATAAACCCGTGGAACGCAGCGAACAGGGACATACCCCTGACATGTTCATCGTGGAAACTGTCCGGGGATTTGATCGTCAGAGACCCACCACCAAGCGCAGCAGAAATTCGTTAAATCGACTGAAGGCCGGACTGCGCGGAGGGATTTCACACTCGGAACATCATCAGGAGGGAACTTTTGAGTTTATTTTACCCGGCCGAACCGGCCTCTGCGCGTACGACCCTGGAAAGGTGTTGTCGTAAATATGGCCGATAGGTACCTCTGGGAGTCTGTTGGTCAACATCACGGTGCACAGTCTAGACACCGATTTCCCCGGTAATTACATGTACGCAGAAGCGACTAACTACCTAACTAAGCTTGCTGCTTTTTTCCTCAGGTTCCTGCGTCGCAGCCCAACATCTCCGAGCACGGGGGTCAGCATGTAAGGTATTGGATGCAATGTTAAATGACCCCAGACACGCAGGCAGAAATTAGAATTGGGGGGGATGGGGGTTGTCTCAGAGTCTGGGGAAGCGGAGTTGGCGGTGTTGGGAAGGAGCAGGCGCGCACGCCATTTTGGGCGGGCTGACGAAAGAAGCGAAGGGGGGAGGTGACTTGCCGCCACACCCTCTCTCTCGTCAGCCATTTCCCCATGAAATACCCTTATTACTCCGTGCTGCCACGTAAATGACTCAAGTAACATGGTAAATCCCTCTCACGCCCTTCTCCTTACTTCAAGTATCTTTCCCATCGGTTTCGTCATCGACGCTTGCCTCTGCCTGGCTCCCTCTCTGCAGCGACCCTGTCCGATGCGCCAATGAGAACACGAAAGCGAGAAAGGCGAAAGCACTCGACGCCGAGAATGCCATTCGCAATGCATCACAGTACAACGCACGAACTGCCCCCTCCAAAGCAGGGGAGAGCTCGCTGACCGCAAAGAGCGACTGGCGTAGCTTCTCGATGAGCTACGGGCAAAGTCAGCGTTTCAGTCCTACCCGAGGCGGCAGCAGTTAAGCAGAGACAGCTAAACTAACCTCTTCTGTCGCCGCATCCCCGAGGGCCTCAGGCAACCTCGCCAGTAAGACATTCTGGACGATTGCCGCCGTCACGGTGACGCCGTAGATGGTGCCCATGGACCGGATCAAATAAACTGTGGAAGTAGCGACGGCTTGCTCTACGCGAGGTTAGTCATTTGTCCCAATCTCCGCACTCCAGACTGCTTACCTCGGTGCTCGAAGATGGAAACAAAGCTGAACAACACGCTGGGATTCGTCAGGCCGAGCCCCAGATTTGCAGGCACCAGAAACAAAAACTCCTTCCACCGATTCCCCGTCATCCCGAGCGTCATTGCCAGAAGGTTCCCGAGTAGCATTGTCGCCGTACCGAGACGAACGTTCAGAGCCAGAGGATAACCGCGGTGCATCAGTGAGCCTGCGATGACGCCACCAACTGGCGTTGCGAGAGCGGGGACAATTAAACGCAAGCCAGCCTCGGAAGGCGAGTCACCCTGAACCGCTTGGAAGTACAAGGGAACCATGAACATGTACTGGGAAGTGTCAGCACAACGCCAATATCAAAGAGGTGGAAAAGCACTCACGGCATATGCAGCCATACCGGAGAACACGTTGGTCAGCTGAACCGCGGTGGGCTGCCAGCCCCGCAACATCCGCAGCGGGATCATGGGTATCGCTTTGGTCGTCGCCTCGATTCTCACGAACAGGGCCAAGAGGACGACACTCCCGCCCAGCGAGCTGATCACAAACGGACTACTCCAGGGAAAATCGTTACCACCGAGGCTCAAGCCCAAGAGCTGTGCCACGAGCCCGATGACGAGGACGAAAGCCCCAAGCAGATCCAAGCGCCGCATTACAAACAAAAATGGGTGTTTGGGATCCGTCACCGGGATGACACAAGGAGGATTCTGCAACACGAGATAGCCCACTACAAGGGCTATGATGGATACTGGAACCTGCAACAGAAAACACCACCGCCACCCAATACTTTCGGCCATCACACCCCCAAGGGATGCACCGAGAACCGCACCGAAGCCGACGAGAATGTTTTGCATGGCCTGATACATACCCCTCTGCTTCAATGGGATCATGTCCGAGTTGATCACCGTTGCTGCGAAGATTTAGTAGGGTAATGCATCGTACGCAAGACGGTGTGCACTCACCCATTGTGATTAGTCCGCCGCCCCCGAAACCCGTCACGGCCCGCATTATGTCGAGCCCGAGCATGCTCTGAGAAATCGAACAACCGAAGCATCCGATCATAAAAGCGAGTGTCGAGACGAAGAAGCATATCCTCCGCCCAAACATATCGGAAAACCGGCCGTAGAGGGGCTGGAAGGCTGTGCTTGTGACCAAGTACGACGTCGTCAACCAAGCTGCGTTGTTGGCAGCATTGAAGTCGGAGCTAATAGCGGCATACGTCGACGCGGTGATCGTGCCGTCGAACCCGGAGAGGAAGACATTGGCCCAGAGAGCTGCGGAGTCACACGCGTCAGACACGACACTAGGTTTTGTGCTACTTCCCTCGGTCTTGTTTCTCGCGCACCTGTTTCGATCCACCAGAAGCCCGCAGACGGCTTCCATACCTCCCCGGCACACTTCGGAGCCGTTTCATAGCCAGGCCTTGTTTCCGATCCTAGAAGTGGTGTCCTCTCGTCAACTTCCCGAACGGACACAGTAGTGGTGTTCGATTTCTTGTTTTGTTCCGCATTATGGTCGGCCATTCCGTTGCAACTGAGGTGATAAGATGGGAGATACAAGTTGTATCTGCTAATTCTGTCCTTTTTTGATCTTTTTTTTTTTTCTCGGTGTCTCCCCTAACCTGGCCGTGAGAGAGACTTCAACAGGGAGATGTGCCAAAACTACCGCGGTGGCAATGCCTCCGGCGAGGGTGTCTCGGGTGGACAGGGCGACTAACCGTCCCTGGTCCCCATCGCGGCAGAGTTTGGCTACTGCCGACGAAAAAGGCAAGCCGTCTTGCTGCAGGTTGCCTGCATGCCCCGTGCAGAGATCGGCCGAGCCAGGTTTCCTGCCGCGCGTAAGCCCGAAACCGGCGATAACTCAAACCACCGCGGTTAACGAGCAGCATATGAGGGTCTTTTGATTTCACTCCTCACGGTCCCTCGGGAGCTTCTATTTTCTTTCTTTTGGTACTTGAACAGTGTCGGCCCTGTAGACATTGGGTCCGCCAATTCACCATGGCCACGATCATCTTCGGCATTGGGGTGGGTTTGGCCAGGGGTTCAGACCGAGCGCTACCCCATCCTACCTGCACCTTATCACGGCGGGTCCCGTGAGACTCTGCATAAGATGCATATGATTCGAAACTAACTAAACATATCACCAACCTTCTCCTTCGGCATTGGTCATTTCCAGTGGCCCGGGTTCCTCGAGGTGGTCGGCTTCTACCAAGAACTTTCTAAACATCTTCTCAAACTGCTCTTGATGGCCGAATCACGCATTTTTTGGCATTGAGCTTAACCCATCCCCAGTGGTTGGTTGCACCCTCGGGGCTTTTCCCTGTCCTCACCCTGTCGCCCCTCCAAGCGTCCATTGGATGAGCGCCGCGGCTTGGCCCGGGCTGATATGCATGCGCTCGAGTCACCCGAGGCGATCCCTGGAGGCAGCGGCTCAATTCCCCGCACCAACCGCGCTCTTCGCCTGCCCCCCAACCACCGAGGTCTCCGTGTTTTCAGAGTGTGGTGTGCTTTGCGAATCTTGAAATCTCGATGTACAATCCTTTATCCTGCGACCCTGTTTTAATCCTGGAAACTACTCCCACAGTTGGTGACACACGACCACCACACCACCCTGATGCCGTGCCCCCCAGCATCGTCGCAACGGGAGAAGCACCCCACCCCGGCAAGGTGAGGTGCGGGTAGATGAACCGGCATGGCACCCCCACGCCCGACCGTGTTGGCCCCCGTTGCCCTACGCCAATCATATCCCGAGCATTGATATAAGCGAGGGGTTGCAGCAAAGCAAGAAGGGTGTTCAGACGCCCGTCCAAAGAGCATCTTATCTTTTTTGCGTTGTGTTTGGTGAGGGGTAGCCCTGCTAATGGAACGGGGGCTAGACCACGAGCCGGTGTTTTGTTGGTGGTTGCGGGTGCGGGTGCGGGTGCGAAGTTCTGGCACCCTTGCAGAGTAACATCGCACTTGAGGCTGAAGCATTGCTGTGAAGAGTCGGAGTGCGGAGCACGTCATCTTTGGCGCGGATGTGGTCAACGCTGGTGCCATGGAACAATATGAACTTATTACGTTTAAGTGGTGAAGTATTGCCGGGCTGGACTGGCCTATTGTCCGGGATTCTGGGAAGGGTCTGGATTAGGTGGCGAGGTTGGCTAGTGCTGTGTGTGGTATTCGCCCCGTCGGAGGTCGCCGGGTCGTTGGTTCGAAGCGGGCTCTAATTTTACCGGGAGTTGGGTTGCGTCCAGACCGAGGTGGTTATGGCGGGCACCAACTTCAATATCTCCTAAATAATCACTTACGGCCGGTGGTGAGCTGGGGGCAGAACAATGCTAAAGGATGCTTGTACAGCTAACAGCAACGTCTCCCCCGGAACCGATCCGGAGAGGTTTAACTCCGACTAGCGGGGTCGTTCTAGGGGCTGAAGAGAGGGGGTAGTGGCAACAACGGGATAACACGACTCGAACTCGGATGAGATGAAGATGGAGAAAGAGAGCAGGGCGGGGATGCGCCTTGATATCTGAAGTTTTCAATAATACAATGATTGCGGTGAATAGAGTACACCACGCCTGGGATTTGAAGATCTATTTATCCAAGACCTACATTGATGGAGTTCAGTACATTTGGGTGGAATTCCGGGCATCAATGCTAGGAATGGCATGCAAGGCGGGAAATCAACCGATGTCCGTGAATTAAATGCCTGCCTTGGTAACATGTACTTAACCTTCAGATGAACTCCAAGCTGAACAAAGATGAAGCCAACAAGAGCGAGAGGGGGGGAGGAACAGACGGACAACGAAGAAAAACAGAAAAACAGAAAAACAAGAAACCGGAACGATGAAAGAGAAAACGAAACAGAGAAAGACGGACGGTCAAGGGAAAGAAAAGAGGGGGGAAAAGTATCCCCAGGCATGAGCTCGGTGTTACGAGGCTGGATCTATGGTTTCCTAAGTATCACAATCGCTGACCCCTTCCACATTCTTTTGGTGCTCCCTATCAGGATAAAGCCCATGCTGTTCCGCCTTCAAGAGACTGGACAATCAGAAACCTCCGCCGAGCGAGCTCGTTGCCGGCTCGCGACCAAGACTCTCTAGCAGGCGCAATACTTTCGCGCCCGCCTTCTTCTTTGTTCAGCCAAAACGCCGAAGGCGGCATGAACCTAGGGTCGTCCCGGTAGGTTTTCACCAGCCATTCGGCCGCCACGCTCGGGCTTCAATCCATCTCTGGGGTATCCAATGTATCCATGGGTAATCGAGCTGGTATCCCCTCGGGAAAGGCCAGAGCCGTTCGATGATAGACGGAGGTAAGGGCAACGACCCTTGCTTCTGCGTGCGCGGGTGCATGTCGCGGTTGGGGGTGAACTTGTAAATGTAGACGTTCTTAAAGTCGATGATGACGATGTTGCCATCGGGTTTCACCATGATGTTGCGGGGTTCGACATCGTCGTGTCGCACAGCGACGTTCCAACAAATGAACAAGACCGGCTCCCGAATGTTCTTGAGCACGCGGATCCGGAAGTCTTCAGGCGGGAGCAGGGCATAGTCGACCTCAAGCCCGTATTTATCCTCGGCATGCGCGATTATGTCTATCATGCATTCACCACGGACAAGTTTGATGAGGATCGTGTGGACCCATCGCTGGCCGATAGTGAAAGTCCAGGACCCGTGGTAGGCCGGGACGACAGTCCCTCCAATGATGGGTTGCATGGTCCTATAGGCCCAGGCCTCGATGCTGTAGTCCCTATCAGCAAAGGACATACAGTCATTGTAATCCAGGGCGCTGGGCCCGGGATCTCCCAGGGGGTAATCGACACCGTCGAATATTTTGGCAATCTACTCGGTGGAGGAATCTCCGTCGAGAAAACAGGCGACTACATGGGTTCCGCCTTGGTCTCGGATGGTCTTGATGCCCGTCACAGTCAAGATGCGCTCAAGCGAGCCTGGCGGTTTCGTCTCGAGTGGTGGGTTAGCCAGTGCGAACTCCACACGGTCAATCTTCCACAAGTCCTGGTCTTTCCAGCGGCTCCAGTAGACGGGTGGACGGGGGCATGGTCCGTACGAGCCGGTGAAGGGCTCGGGCGGCACATGCTCACGGATGCGAAGGGTTGTATGAATACCGTACTGGGATTTGCCGGAAGCATTGCGAATCGTGCCCATGGCGATGATAGATCTTAAACCAACGCCCGGTGATTTGGATTGGGACTAGAATCGCGTAGGTTGACTGTTGATTCCACAAAAGCAGGGACAAATAATCGAAGATATCGCGGACAGCCCAGAGGAAATACGAGGGTACTAATTTCCACAATGACGAAGTGCCGGGTGCTCAGAACCTCATGTTCAATGTCGGGGCCAGCCATGCGGTTCTCTCGGCCCCGGGCGAATTGTTGGTTGGTTTCGAAACAGTTGGACTTTTGCCCAGGACAACCAACCCAAAATCAGCGCTCCGAACAGTTCAATTTTTTCAGTTCAGTAGTTCCAATCCAATCAATCCAATTCCAATCCAATCCGTGCCATTTTGGGGCCTCAGTGCAATCCAGATCCAGCTCCAGGATTTGAACTGAGCTCGATTGAACTTACATGGGTTAGGGTTATTAAGCGACAATACTTGCCGTTATCTGATAGTGAGGTACCGAACGTTATCGATAACTAACAGTCTCGTTGTTCAAACAGGGTCAATCGCTGTTGGATTGAACTTGCCATCATCAACCGCCCTTCGACCAGGTCCAACCCTACCGCCCAATGGCTACCTCAGACACGAGCTCTACTGCCACATCCCCGACGAATGCCGCCGTCGTCACCGGGCCTGTCGTCACCACCGAAAACAGCACCTTTTCGAGGCTTGGCCATGCGCTTTCCCTAGTTCAGCAGATCGAGGCGCTTGGGGAGGACCCTCCAGCGTCAATCGTCCCCGAGCAATGGCCTGTTGTGACCTGCAAGAAGGGCCTCAAGTACGTACCTGAAAACTGGGCTAGATAAGCGGCAAGACAGGCGCTCTTGGGTGTGGAAATACGGCTTTTGCGTTGCCCTTGTCGTCGATCCAACTGGTTAGTTTTATTTCTCACAACAGCGCCCTCAACGCTTATCGTTATAATAACCGATTATTTATACAGTCAAGATGAAGGCGAAAAGCTTCCATTTCGTCTGCAAGCGATGTAGTGCAACGTTCAACGCTCAATCGACTTCGGCCGCACGAAGTCATCTCGAAGAACAACACCGTATTTTTGACGATAAACCTCACTCGAATTCGAACGACCCCCAAGCTACAACATCAAGAAAACGAGCTGCAACCAACCACAGTATTAGCGAGATGTTGAGCCGCAACAAGAACAAAAAGTCGACGGCCGTGGTTCCAAGAACCCAAGGGGAGCGCTTTCGTTACCTCCTTGTTTGTTGGATGGCTACGGCAAACATTCCGTTCGCCGCGGTGGAAAACAAGTATTACCGTCAAATACTACAGCTCTTCAACGCTCCATTAACTGACGCCCTTCTTCCAAAAGGGGGGGGATACAACAAGAAGCTGGCTCACAAGTATGTATCACGATCTTCTTGATTCAATCAAGATTAAGCTCAAGGCTTCTCCACATCAGAAACATCTCTCTTTCGATCTGTGGACCTCCTCTCATTGGCCTTGCGCTACTCGCAGTCGTTGTTCATTACTTTGAGAGCTCTCGGAAATTATCAAACACACTCTCCTGACTCTGTCACGGATTACGGGGACTCATGCTGGCGAGAACATTGCACCTGGTGTTCTAGACGTCATCAAGACGTTTGACCTACAGCCCTGCCTTGGATATTTCCAAACCGACAATGCAGATAACAACGATACGGCAATGACAAAGGTCCTTTTACACCTCAATCCAACGCTTTCCCCTGCGCAAGCCATCGCCCTCAAATGCAAGGTCCGGGTCCGTTGTTTCGGGCACATATTGAACCTTGTTGCTAAGGCCTTCCTTCAAGCAACCAACAAGAAGCTCATCAAGTCCCTGGCACCGGAATCCCTGGCACACCACAACGCAGCGGAAGAGGGAAGGCTTCTTCATGGAATGGCGCAAGTCTGGCCCTATTGGAAAGCTCCACTTCCTGGTTCATCACATTCGCCGCAGTCCTCAACGCCGGGATCTGTTTTCGGATATCGCTAAGGGCAAGTTGACAGAGGAAGAACAGCAAGAATTCGGCGCTATTCTAATCGACAAGGACATTGCAAAGCTGCAGTTGCGTTCGGACAATGAGACTCGATGGCATTCAGTCTACCACATGATCGACCGGGCAATCATGTTACGTGATCCTCTGGATTATTTCGTCAACATCGTGACCAAGAAGGATCCAGATAATATCACGAGCGATGACCAGCTTACGCCTTCAGAGTGGGTGGTGCTCAAAGAGATCCGTTGCATCTTGGAACCGTTCAAAATCATTACAAAGAAGTTTGAGGGCCGGAAACCAAACTTTGCGGACGTCGTATCACATGCCTACACCCTGCACAGGAACCTCAACGAACTCTATCAACAGTATGCCAGAACAGCCAGTCAACATCACGATTTCCATGGGGGTCCCTGGGTTGGTATACGGCCACCGTCGCCGGCCCTGGGAAACTCTCTCAATCCCGGTCGGATGCAGTCGCTTTCGTCAGACCCAGACCCAGATATTGAACCCCCAAGTCAACGTGTTGAGCCTCCAAGTCAACGGCGGTCTGGGCGAACAATCCGGCCTTCCCAGCTCACTTGGACGACTTTGAAGGTTGACCTCCCAGCACTTGGATATCGGCCCTCTACCACAGAGCCCCACCCAGCGCCATCGCCACGCCCTCAACAGCGCGTTGTTCAACTTGGGGAGGTAATTGACGATGAAGTTGATGATACTGGGTATGCCTTTATCCAAAAGAGTCTCAAACTTGCCATTGAGAAGCTGGAAAAGTATCTGGCGATCATGGACGCCACCCCAGCTTATTGGGCGGCAATGATACTACTTCCGAACTGTAAGATGCGGTGGATCGAGCGTTTTTTTACAGATGATCCGCTTAAGTCGTCCGACATTCAAGCCCGGTTCCGGGTTTTCTTTGACCACAATTATCCTCGACCGGCTCCGGATTCATCAAACGGGTCCCGGGACCGACCTTCACATCGCCCGGCGTTTGGGTATGACTTCTATGACCCTCCGGATCGCGTATCCGTTGATGAGGTTAGTGTCTACCTCAATGAGCCGGTTCTGCCACTAGAAGAGACCCCTTATCAATGGTGGTGGCGTAATCGTGACCGTTTCCCACGGCTTTCCAAGATGGCATTTGAGTTGTTATCTATTCCACCCTGTTCAACAGAATGCGAGAGGTGTTTTAGTGCATCGAAGTTGGCCCTGGGTCATCAGAGAAACCGCACGCACGAGGAAACCCTTTGTATGCTTCAGTGTATCAATAATTGGCTGCGGATTCTAGATAGCTAGAGCAGGAGGAACGCCAGGGAGTGGTGTGACTGTTGGGGAGACCTTTTGGGGGCTGAGCGGAACGGATCAGCTGCTTCCGGGGGGGAGGCCTTGGCAGATTGAACTAAACAGTTCAGTTCAATCTGAGGAACAGTTCAGTTCAATCGCACCTCAAAATCTTCAATCCAATCCAATCGGGGACCCAGGATTGGATTGATTGAACTGTTCGGAACGCTGCCCAAAATATGTTGGGCCAACTGGTAGCTAGTGCAGCTTCAAACCGCCTGTGCGTCCAATGGGGAGCTTGAAACCAACCCGCCCCCCCCCTTGTATAATGACTTAATAAGATTGTAATGAGGATAACTAGTTAGTTATTCAATCCCTTTACCATCCAAGGAGAAATACACGGCATCGTGAGCCTCGCAGGAGAACGAATCAACCTACACCATGTTTCTAGGCTGTAGATGCGATAGACTACAATGAATCACAGACTTCAGCCAATGTAGGTCGGACTAGTCTGACCTACCACAGCGGGGTTCCGTGGGGGGTGGGAACGCTAGTTGACAGCGCGATGATAGCCTGAAAATATTTGACAATTTTGACAACTAGCATACCCCGCATAATTAGCATACCCAATGCAACTAGCATACCCAATGCAACTAGCATTCCCACGCCAAATGCCGTCGCTCGCAGCCCCGCTCCAGCGCCTAGCCTGCCACACCCTCCGCTGCACCCTCCTGTGCACCCCCATTGCACCCTGTTATTGTATTTTGAGCCACTGCTGTATTTAGCGTCTGTTTCCCTACCTACATAAAGATTCCAAACACCCCCTCAACAATACGGGATTCGCGTGCATCCATCCCCAGCGGGTCCACACGTCATGTAAGTCCTCTTGGCCCCGCTGCTAACTGCCTGGTCGCGGGTTGGTTTGGTTGAACAGAAGCGCTGTCGGCCTGCTGGTTAGCCGAAGAGGGAGCGCGACACCACTTTCCAGGTTATCTTTGTCGTCTACCCCAACCGGTTCGTTACCTGACACAGGCGTCATTAGGGGAGGTAAAAACGGGCAACTTACATCGCGCGCTCTCACAACGCATGTACGTCCCAGTTCACCCAGATGATGCCAACGCCCCTGACCGGTATCATGTAGAGACGCACAGGGCGAATGGCAGGCACCCCAACCACTACAGCATCTTCCGTCTCCTCCATTATCTCCAAGTCCCGGAGCTTATGTCGAGTCTTTGTACGCTTGATCAGTGTTAGTACTGTGAAGATGTGTCTGTCCTTGTCGTTGTCGAGGACGAAGATATGGTCCACACGCCCGAAAAGAGTCTGGTTGTCGCGCTTGAATCGTACAAAGTCGCCAGTCCTGAACGTGAAGCGGTCGTTCGACTCCCTGCCCGTATGAACGAAACATTAGCCTGGGCACACCGCTAAGCCGTCCAGCCTCTATTTGACACCCAGGAGTCAATGTCCCTTCCGGGAACCTGTGCTGACAAGCACGCCGGCCGTCTGGGGGAATCTGACAAGGCGAGCCAGGCTCACGTGTCCCGGTGGTGGGAAAGGGGGAGGGGTGGGGACTCAGGGATATGGACCTGGTGGTCTGGTACGCACCTGTCGGTGAATCCGGACTTCCGTGACCACTGGATTGGCCGGTTCTCGAACAGAGATGGATATTGTGCAGGTTTGCCGTAACCATACTGGTATGCCAGTCGGAGATGACCACGCCAAGTCGATGTCGTGTTGAGGTCCCCGGAGCGAGTCGGGATTCTATTGCCATCATTAATTGGGTGGGTTGCGACAACACTCTTTGTTGGGATACGATTGATCGCAGCCGGTCTGAGATGATTGCTGTCTGCGGACTGGTCGATTTCCATCTCGTGGTCTTCGTTATCGAGCAGGGCATCCATCTCATTTCGGTCCGTTCGAGATAGTACTGTATTGAAAAGGGTCGGGCACTGCTGGTAAAGTGCAAGCATCTCGCTGGTGAGTTCCGGGTCGTCATGCTGAAAAGCGTTCTGGAGGAGCAGGCGCATCGTCTCTTGGAAATTGACTTTCATCAGCAGGATCTTCTCCACGTTGGAGTAATTTGTTTCGTAGACACGGGTCTTGAAGTATCTAGAAGACGTTAGCAGACGGTAAGACGGGTAGGTCTGTTCGAAGAAACCCGGCCGAAGAGATCGAGGTGAAGCGAGCGATACATGGGCGACGCGGATTCGAATCTCTCCGGATTCAACGGTCTTGTGTTTGCTGGCAGGCCTTCTCCAAGCATGGTGCCAGAGCCATGCCCAGATCACTTCGCGACAAGAGCCAGACACAGATCCACACGAATGTCGCTGAGTCCAAGGGTCTGGGGTTTGCCGGTGAAGGTCTATCAAGCGGGGTGCTGGTAACTACAGGTGAGGGACAATTACCGACGGAAGTTAGACATACCGGTGTAAGTTTTCGCCTGTGAGTGTGTTACAGTTGACAGGTAAAGCGTACTCCTCCGCGAATTCTGGGAAATGAACGGCGACATGAATATTTGGGCGCAATGTGTCGTTCTGGTACTGTAATGCCCGGCCAGAATCATCAACGACACCGTCTTGGAGAACTGACTCATCGATAACTTGGACTCCCGGCGTCCCTGCGTGTGACGCACCAGACGACCCGGTTGAGGTCACAGCTGCAAGTAAACAGAGCTGGTTGAAAAGGTAGCGAGCCCGGTAAATGATGTTGCCCTTGAGGTAACGGTCCCGACGCGACACACGAGTCCCCATCAGAACGGTAGTGCTCTTTGCAATCGCAGCAGTAGTCTCGATGATCAACTCAATCGAATCTTTCTCGTGGTTCTTAGCTTGGTCCCAGAACCTTGGCCGAATGTGCTCCCTCTTTAACCAGTTTAGGAGCAAGGCTGGGATAATGACGATCCATCGCGCGTGGTGAGACATCTTGTAGCTTGATAAATGGTGAACCGGTGACTGTAAACGTGGCCAACCCGGTGGGTAAGGCCAAGTCTGGAGCTGTATAGCATATTCCGAGCGCGCTGACTTTGTAAGAATGCCATCCCGAAGGAGAAAGTGCATCAAGTTGCCAAGACCGTTGTACTCAGAGTGTGCTGCGTCGATGGGCCGTGACATGACCAGATCAAGGGCCGGTGACAGGCGGGGAAGTACCGGCAGATCTTCAGCCATCCCTCACTGCGTACAATATCGTTTCCGTTCCGACGTAGTTTGCAATGAGCGGTGCAGCATCTGCTGCATCTCCAGGGTCTGAGTGTGAAACCGGCCGTGAGTGATATGATCGAACTTGAGCATAACATCGGGATTGACAGCGCGCTGGCCGGAGTCCGCGAAACAGCATCTGCAGAACTTGTGTGCTCGTGGGCCTTTGAACCCGGAGTTCTCGGCCTGTTGAGGCATATCGCCAATGTAACATCGCAAATGCGCAAACACGGACGATTTTGTCGCGAATAGTCATGACGATACCGGCGTCGAGATGAACCATCATCTTCAGCGCTTTAATAACCTCGCCAAAGTCCGATGCATGAGGCCTACCACGCCAGTGTTAGCTTCAAATACAAGATTAACAACATTCCACAGGGCAGGCTAAAAGCTATGCCCGTATCGAGTCGACACCCCCGAAAGGTGGAAAATGCTGGCAGTCAAGCAATAGGGAAGGGATCTTAGACAAGAAGCTGGACTTACCCGAGTACGATTAGGAAAATGCTGCCCGGACTAAAACGCTCCTCTTCACAAAGCCCTGCTGGTGTGAAATTTTCCGGGGATTCGTGGATTTCTGCGGAAAATAGATATCGGCCGTCCGTTGTCGTTCATAATTGGTGTCGCCGAACCCGGTCGGGGAAAAGCAGAGGTTTTCATTCGATGACTGGCGCAGTTGTCTCTAAATTGAGGGCCCCGGGGTTCTGCGCCGATAGATGCTGCTTACGTGCTGTGCTGCAAAGTCGGCGCGACTTTAGACCCTACGATTGATCGCGCCATATTTGCGCTGTCAATAATCCCCGATGGTGTTGATGGTGTTGTAAAAAAAATTTGATGTGGGAGGGTTTTAGAGGGAGGAAATCGAAGGACTCGTGAGTGAGCGAGGAGTTGTTGCCAGAAAAAATCTCAGAGGAGGCCGTTCCTTCCTTCGCTCCTGTTGGAAACTATTAACAGCCACAATTCCACGGTTATCAGACGGATGATGGGAGCTTACAACAGTGGGTTGGAGATGCTTCGAGCAGCCCAGAAATCATCAATTGAAGGTTGTTTCTTTCTGTTCTTCGGTGGTGGCCATCGCCCTAACCCTTTTGAATAGCTCGTTGTCCAGACCCTGGATACCCTCAAACAGTAGCACCGGCAACCGAGCTTCCGTATTTCGAATGCCACCACTTCCAACACCACCACATGATTATGAGAAGCCGCACAATGTCGCCGCCGTTGATGGCCAGCGGGCACACGGCGCTTTGGCCGGGCCTAGTGTCAGCCAACCCACCGGAACAACCCCATCGAACTTCCAGGGCATCACCAGAACAACATCGCAGAGGATGTTATCGCCCCCACCTACGCGGCCTCGCTTGGAAGGCCAGATCAGTTCATCTCCCGTAATCCAGGATCCCGGTGCCCATCATCCCCACATCCGATACAGGCAGCGTCCACAGCCGGTCGGTGGTGCAGCAACAGACTGGGCAGTGCACAACACCCGGTGCAACTGTCAACGCTCCGACGACAGAGGCCACCCCGGCAGCGAAAACATCTCCGCCGGGGTTTAGCGCAGGCGACTCTACCACAACCGCCCAAGCCACTCCAGTTACCCGCGCTTCGAACCGCAACAGCAGGAAGTCTCAGCGTGCTCTGCAAGCTGACAGCAACACGCAGGAAGCTCACATTAATACTCGCGGAGTCACAGCTAGACGTAGTGGTACTCTGGCCTCTCGGGACAAACGTGCGGGTGGCGGGGATTCCGGCAAACCCATGTCTCGGCCTGGAAAGCAGCAGCAGAGAGCCAGGCTTGGACGTAACACCCCGGTGGATGACCAAGAGTCAGAAGGATACTCTAACTTGTGACCTCCAACCGGTTTTACCCCTGTACTGCCGTATTCAATCGTTGCTAGTAGTAGTATATAGTGTGTATTCAAGAATGGATTATGTGGCTAAAAGAAAATAAAAAACCTGGTTCAGTCCTTGATTTCATCTTGTCCAGCGTTGTGCTTTTGTAAATTGGGCGAGGCGTACACCAGACAGTGGCTTACAGTGGCTTACAGTGGCTTACAGTGGTTGCAGTGGCAGTCCCATTGCCACGAGTCCTGATCAATCTGTCGGATGGGGCAAGGACCCATAAATAACCACCAATCAGAGAGCGGAACGCCGGGAATGCTAGTTGCTCGAGGTATGCTAGTTGCTCTGGGAATGATAGTTGACAAGACAACGATAGATTGCATTCCTGGAAGGCCAAGTATCATACTTGCCTAGCACATTTTCCCACTACGGTATTTTAACCACCCAGACCGCTCCGCGTTGAACAACTATTAAGTCTGGCCGCACCCGAACCTGCAACCTGCCACTTCTTTAAGGGACCGCACGGATTCCACGGCCAACGGAGTCAGCCGGCCGTACATCGACGCTTGGAGCAGTATTTCATTTGTAACATTCAAGGCATCCAAGGCAGCGTCCCTCGTCGAGCCCCCTTTCTGGTCACGGAACGGTGCCCTTTGGGGGACCTTTCTCCCAAGCCTGTCTGCCTTCTGCTCATGCCAAAGTTTTTGCCAATGCTGTCACCTGATCCCGCAACTGCTTGCTCTCTCTCGGTGCATTCTTCAGCACCTTCTGCAGGAGATGATCGACCTGGGCACCGGGCGCTGTGGGCGGGTTGCCCTGCGCGGTCTGAATTCGCGAGACCTGGAACTGCAGGAAGAATTTGGGCACCTTGATGCCAAGGTTCCCACCGACCGAGCGGATACCGGCCTCGGTTGCGAGGTAGACGTCGAGTTGTTTCTGGAAGGTGGCGAGGTCGGCGTTGCGCAGCGGCGTGGGCGTCGCAAACTTGTCGAGAGCGAACTGCAGCGGCGTTTGGGCGGACGAGGCGAAGTTGACCGACGAGAACGATACACCGCCCGAGAAGACGTCTGGTACGCCTGAGAGGGTGGTCCGGGAGTTGTCGCAGGTGATGCGCTCTTGCAGGTTGGTTACAATATCAGCGACTTCTTTGGGGAGAACCTGGTTGCCGACGAGAAAACAGGAGTTGGCCTGCCGCTCTGAGATCAGCGGGGCTAGATACCTATGTTAGTGGCAAGGCAGAATGATGGAATCTGAGAAGCATAAATACATACCGGATAAGGCGAAGCCTGCGCCGAAATAGATCACTGCGAAGAGCTTCATCTTGATTGAGCGTTGGTATGAAAAGTCCCAAGAAGGACGGTAATGTCAGGCTGTTGATACACCACAGAAACGAAAATACAAGCACCAGTGCCGTAAATAGAAACAATGCAGCCAGCCACAATGACGATCAAGAACTGAGATCTTCAGATGGCTATCACACACTCTAAATACACCCGCCCTCGTGATCCGGAGTTGCCCAGCCGTTGCCGAAGCGCCGTGTTCGTCTCAAGTTTCGCCCATAACTGCCCCGAAGTCCTGGGTCAGAAACCGCAACATCCCCCGTTGACGCCGGGAATTATCTGTAAACGGAATGGGTTGCGGCCTTGTTGCTGGAAATGGGTTACCCCCGGCATGCGAAGGGGTCGTGACGCCGGTGGGGGTCGTTTCAGGCATGTGTCGGACGAGAAAACACCCCCTGACCCCGTTCCTTAACTACGGGTTCGCTAAAAACAACACCAACGATTTGGACAGAACAAACATTGAGATACCAGTGTAGGTTCGATGACCTTGAAGATGTTGAGTGCCACGATGGAATCCCTAAGGGAAATTGCATCCTGGGAGCATCGCCTGTTTAAATGACGACAATGATTCACAAGAAACAACGGTGATATTGAATCTGCACATGAACACTCGCGGTTCAGAAACAGTGTGTATTCCATCCATAGACCAATAACTCAAACACTCAATCCCGTTTATCATTCATTTCCAATAGTTGAATCATGAAAACTCGAATCGCAACCCCCCTGGTTCCATGAACTCATTCACACCTCCAGCCCCTTATACGCCTCCTCCAACCCCTGAAACTCGGCCACACCCAAGTCCTCCTTCCCCAACACCTTGCCCCCATCCGCCCTCGTCCAGCTCCTCTCCCGATACTCATCCCAAAACTCCATCATCACGCCCATCTCCTCCGCCCACAGCGGCCAGATCTCCCTAAACGCCTCCCCACTCACCCGCACCAACTGCGCCTTGGTGCCCCGCGCCCTCGCCCAAAGCTGCAACATCTCCCCGGCCTGGTGCGTCTCCGTCGCCGCCAGCACCACCGCGCCGCCCCGCGTCTTGTCCCCCTGCTCCACCGCCGCCTTGACGAACGCCCCCACGTTGGCCGACACGTCGCCGATGGTGGTGATGGGCGTCTCGGGCGCGTAGTTGGCGAGCTGCAGGTGCTTGCCGGCCGTGGGGATGAGGTAGGGCGTGAACATGGGGAAGGCGTAGTTGCTGTGGTACCAGGTGACCCAGAGGAAGGTGGTTTTGGCGAGGAGGGCGGGGAGGTGGGTGCGGATGTGCGCGTCGATGCGGTTCTTGCCCTCGAAGTGGGGGATGAGGTATTTGTTGGCGGAGAGGGCGAGGGCGTTGGGGAGCGTGCTCCAGATGTAGTGCTCGAGGGTGGGGGTGGCGGCGGCGGCGGTGGCGAGGTTGGTGCCCTGGTGGAGTTCGATTTCCATGGCTTTGTCGGGGGATTGGTGGGCGATGAAGGGCTCGAAGAAGTTGGTGACGGCGAAGATGATGTGGGAGCCGGCGAAGGCCGTCTTGAGGCTGGCGAGGTCGTTGAGGTCGGCTGCGACTACTTCGGCGCCCTGCGCGGCGAGGGCCTGGCCGGCGGGACCGGAGGGGTTGCGGGTGATGGCGCGGACTTGGTAGGCTGGGTTATTGATGAAGGCCCGGACGACGCCCTTGCCCTGGGCACCGGTGGCGCCGACGATCGTGATGAGCTTGGCCATTTCGGATGGGGTGGCTGGTGGAACGTTGATGGTGTTGGAGAGTTTGATGCGGGCGGGTTATTGCGCTGCGTTCAAGGAGGATGTGTTTGGTTAAGGAAGTGGAGTGAAAGATTGTGGAACTGCTGGAGTCTCAAGAAACTGGTGCTATTGATGTGTTGATGGAGTCTGAAAAAGGAGTTCACAATCATCGAAGCACGGTGAGGCAGTCCATACTTATACATCTCGGCCTCACCTCGCTCCACAGCTAGAGGTCCCTATCACCGACAATTATGGTGTTGATGATTCCATGGTCATATTACCAATTTGCTCACTTGCCGGTGTTTGGAAATCCGAGCGACGTCGGTGCGTCTTTGGGAAGACTCTATGAGCTTACCACCAAGACGGCGACGCCCTATCCACCAAGATAACCTTTGTCAGCCAACATGGCGAGCGCGACAAGGCCTATTCTCCGACCAACGACGGGTGCGAGTTGAATGGGAAAACAGATCTCCCGGCAAGGCCTTGAGTCAGCACCCTTGTAGAATGTAATGTCGTGTTGTGTTGATTGGACAAATGCTAAACAAAGGGCGTGTGCGGCGATTATTAATCTGGAGGTATGCAAAGGCGTTCAGTAACCAGCAAACTTTCCAGCAGGGGGGAGTTGGGGAAACCTCCGAGAACGGACATCTACAATGCCGAGCTGCGAGGTGCTGACTCAGGTTGGAGAGTTCTCTGTACAGTACTTTTTTGTGTTCGGTTACCGTCGACCTCCGTTCACGGAAGTCATTGACGTGCTTCAAGAGGTCGGTCACATAACACTAGCTTATCGGAAAGCATAGTCGAGGCCTCGCCATTCCCTTTGACACTATGTTCAAGTTTGTCAGACACATACACATTCCAGCCGGGGAAGGTTGCCGCGGCGTGTGAAGCTCGGGGCTGGGGGGAGGGCACAACAAGTTCCTCAGTCTCCCACTAATTATGTCCAGCCGATAATTAGAGGGATGGCGGGGATGATGCCGAATAGAAAAAGGCTGCTCATCAAACTGGATACTTCGGTATGACTTGGTTGAACTTCACTTCATCTTTTCGATCCATGATAGATGTAACAAACTTACGCAAGCTGTCGTGTAGTTCATCCCAAATCCGACATTATGTGACCAAAACTGGCATCTATCTACATGACTACATCCAATCCCCCAACTTAATGAACCCACCCTAGTTCTTCGCCCACGGCTTCTTCACGCCCTTCTCCTCATACCACTCCCCCACCCACCCCTTCATCTCCGCCGCCGCATCCAGCGCCAGCCTCTTCACATCCTCATTCGCGTCCCAATTCGGCCCGTACATATCCGAGCAATGAACGCCCCCCTTCACCAACCGCACTGGCAGCTGCTTGGACGAGTGCACCGGTCCGCCGGGGCGGAAGGCGCTGGACAGCGTGGCGTCGCGCCAGGGGTCGTGCTGGCCGTTGGTGTGCATGGCGCGCGTCGTGTTGGTGACGTCCCAGCCGCCCGTCCAGCGGTTGACGTCCTTGGCGCGCTTGCCCGACTCGAGCCCGTACCCGCCCTCGGGGAAGTGCAGCGGGCACTGCTTGCGCCAGTAGTCGTTGTTGACGTGCCGCGAGACGAGGGTCTTTTCGGTGAGCGGGGCGCCGTTTTGCCACCATTCGAAGCTGGAAGGAATGTTAGTAAGCGTAATGGTGGGGGGGAGGGATGGGGGAAGGACGTACGGCTCGTTGCAGAGCATCCAGTTCCATTGGTCGGTTAACCCAGTTGCCGGGGGTCAGGTCCTTGTAGGCGACGTTGTTGGGGTCCAGGCCTTTGAAGCACTCAATGTTGAGCTCGCCTTCCCATTCGGCGTAGCCGGCACTCTCGCAGTCTGGGGGAGGGGTTAGTTAATCTCGATGGGGGGGAAGAGAGGGTAAAACTCACAGCCAGGGATGACCTCCTCCTTCACGTATTTGGCGTAGCCGTCCAGAGCCTTGGCCAGGCCGACACCCCGGGCGCCAGGCACTTTGTTCGTGGAGTTAGGCCAGACGTTCTCAACGTAGTCGCAGAAGCGGTAGTACGGCGTGTAACCCGTGTTCTTGACCGAGTAGAACTGGGTCGACTGCCATTGCCACGGGCCCCATTCGAGCGCACTTAACACCAGTTAGCTGTCGTTCCCAAAAGAAGACGCTCACGCTCAGAAGCACTCACGCAGCAAAGTCCCCATCTTCCAGGTCCTCGAGCATGAACTTTTTCTTCAACTCCTGCTTCCGCTTCTTAGACCCAAAGCTCAGCACCAAATCTACATAGTTGATCACAGCGTTGACATCGGAGCTGCTAATTCCTGGGCGTCGCCTCCTGCACGGGCGACGAAATACTGCCAAAAGTCGCCCACAGCCTCCACGACACCGCTCGAACTGTATATACGCCCAGAACGTACCCGGCTCCAACGCAGCCAGCCACCCGGCCAGGGCACCGGCATACGACCCGCCGGCAAACACCCACGGGGCCTTGCCGGCCGAGCTCGCGCCGGAGTCGTCAAACGGCGGCACGAAGTTCTTGGCAAAGTAGGTCAGATCCTTGAGCGAGTTGTCGAGCGTGAGATACTGCAGATTCTCGACGGTCAGGTTCGCGTAGGGCGAGGAGCCGCCCCAGTAGCGGTGCTCGAGGATGACGACGGCGCCGCCGGTCTGGTTGGCCATGAGGCCCGACAGCCGCGCGCTGCCCAGCCAGGTGCGGTTGAAGCCCGTGCCCGTCTGCTCGCCGGGGGTGACGAGGTAGATGGGCGAGCCGGGGCCCTTCCAGAACTCGGTGCCGTACCAGTAGCGCTGCTTGAAGGTGCCCAGCGCCGGGTCGGCGTGGTCGATCAGCTGGTCGAAGGTGCCCCAGCCGTTGGTCGTCTCGGCGCGCTTGTGGAGGTCGGCTGCCGAGATGGTGTCGTCGTCCGGTCCGATGTCCATCGCCGTGCCGCGCCCGAAGGCGGCGGCGTAGGGGGCGAGGAGGAGGCCCGCCGCGAGGGCGGTGATGGAGAGCCTCATGGTGGTGGTGGTGGTTGATGCGGAGGGGGAAGGAGTGTGCCAACCAGCAGGGACGGAATAATGCCCTGGGTGAGAGGGGAGTGGTGGTATTATGTATTTTCATTTTGAAAAGGACCTGCCTGTTTATTTAATTGCCATGGGCAGCCCGCGGGTCCCAGCTCCCGCTTCCTCGCTGCACATGTTGTGGACAGGGGCACGCATGGAAGGAAGGCAGATCGCAAACAGGCAGCTGGCAGTGCCACACTACTACCACGGCAGCATGCAAGCCGCCACCGGGGATTCACACAAGTGGCTCGCTGGAGGCGATTGGCCGCCTTTTTGGGCCTTGCGGGCCTCGGCCAGTGTAACTCGCGCAGGCGGGTGCACAATTGGCAGTGGCTCTTGAGTGGGCACGGTTCTACCCCAGATCGAACCCGTCACCTTCCCGTTCCGTGCCAAGGGCGCCGACAACAGAGGGAGGTCCTCCGTTCGGCCCAAGATACTCTCCACCGACTCCGCCCGAAGCGATCCGGGTTCCGGAAGGTTTTTGGTGGGCAGATTGCCGAATAGCCGCGAAAGCGGACATGAGTTCACATGATGGGCTGATGAAAATAGATTCTGGGTTGGAAGGATGATGGGAGAATTTGGTTGATTGCGGGGCAGTGTCAAGAGAGCAAGAATGCCCGGTGCTTCTGTCATGCCGTGTACGAAGTAGCAAACGGCAGCTGGCAGGCTAGGTCTCCCGAAAATAAACCCTGCCCCCGGGCCTGTTCATTTGATGCTGAGGTGCCTGGGTTGCCATTTTACTTCAACTGGCGCCTTCCCAGTTCGGATTAGATTGGCGGGAAGCACCAAGGAGGATCAGGAAGGAGTGGCTCGAGCGGCTCGCATGCAGTCAAGCCTTGCACCAAGATCAGACATTCCAAGCCAAGAAAGGCTTGTTCCTGCTGATTTCCAGGCCTTGCTTCCTTCCCAGCTCCAAGCCACACCAGCTTCAACGGCCAGCCCCTCTTTAAGTGGGGCCTCAGCCAGGAAGAATTCAGCACCCACAACAAATCAAGTTGAACCCCGCCTTGCCCGCCCAGGCCGATGGTCGGCCAAGCCAGCTCGCCAGCCTCTCTCACAAACCGACATCCGGATCCACCGGGCATCTCCGTTGAAGAAATCCCCTTGTGGTGTAGTTGGCTATCACGTTCGGCTGTAATGGAAATTATCGATACCGAAAGGTCACCGGCTCGATTCCGGTCGAGGGGACACATTTTTGCCTGGGCTTTCCGAGCTTCATCGGTGGTTTCGCAGGTTGTTGACATGGACCGGACAGGCAAACCTTTTTTAGCCTGAAAGGAGTTCCATGGTTGCATTTAGTGACGGACTGCCTAGAGAAACAGCGAGCGACAAACGGTCAAAGCGCCGTAACTGACAACATGGGTAGACAGACAAGACACTCCGCCACTACTAATGCTTGTTGAAGGAAGGGAAAGGCAACGAGATGCACGCACCGCAACTTGACAGGGCTCACAGGACCGGGATCCGGATGGCAGTGGGGATGAGTCACAATAGTGCCTAGCTGAGCACGAGTCAACGATTAGATACTTAAGAAGAACTGAAGATAACAGACATGTGCAACTCAAGCTTAATTCCGACAGACGCCTTGGACGATACTGCATGCTACCGGATCGAAACGTTAAATGTGAATAGCTTCGATCACCCAGAAGTCAGGGGACATAAGTAAGGCGAGAGCTGGCCGCGGATCAAAGCGGCCCAGACTAAGCTTAATCCGTTCCAGTGTATGACCTCTGGCCTCCGATCTCTGTACTCAATCCAAGGAAGACAGTTGCATTTTCTAGGGCGTCCTAAGCCCTTAGCAGTTTGGCAGGCACATGCCGAGAAAAGGACAATCCAGTCTCCAGGTGGATGTCCTACAACGCTGTGATTCACATCAAGATCGACGATCAAAGACATCGGAAAATAGACAAGAGATGATAGATCCGGCAAGAGTGGCCAGCGTTGATTATATAGACTAGTATCAAGAAAGTAGACTTCGACAACTCGTCTCTCATGTCCAAGAAGCACTGCCGCCTCTCCACCTTTATGACAACCCGAATGTTGAAACCATAATTGCCATTGCGCAACCTGTGCAGTGCAAAACCCTCGGAGCGGTGGTCAGTCCGCCGACCGGGTGAGCAGCACCCCTTTTGGTTGCGCGATATTGTGTCCCCTCCCTTTCGTCGGGTGAACACAAAAGAACCTAAGCCTTCAGAAGACAACAAGAGATCAAGGATAGATTCCGTGGCTCTCCCTGCATGCGTACAGGCCAAGCATGATGAATGAATGTCTGTCCATCCGTGAATGCAACAAGACTCCTCCAAAATGGAGCTGCAAAGACGCCGTGAATGAAATCAAATGTCCCGCGCCAGACCCCTCATCAGGCAGTCCCCTGTTTCGCCGCGAAGGTGCCAATCAGTTTGGCAAGCTTCTCGGCACCCTCGACAGGAACCGAGTTGTAATTACTGGCGCGAATGCCGCCGATAGAACGGTGGCCTTTCAGCCCCGTCAACCCCAGGGTAGCAGCCTCGCTCAAGAAGGCTTGCTCTGCCGAATCTCCGCCCTGGATTCTGAAGCAGATATTCATACGTGACCGCGCCGACTTGTCAGGGATGATCCGATAGATATCGGGGTGCGCCTCGAGGGCGCCGTAGATCAGCTGGGCCTTCTGCTCGGCTACAGCTTGCTGTCCTTGCACTTTGGGACTCTGTCGCAGCAGCCTCTTGAGAACTTGACCGGCGATGTACACGCTGAAAGAAGTTGATTAGTCTACACCTTAGTTTGAAGGGTTAGTGCTTACTCGAAGATGCTGAGTGTGTTGTAGAGGCTGTTGTTTTTGGCAATAGTCTCGTACTCGAAGATGCGAGGCGGAACAGGCAGACCCAGCTGCCTCATCAGAGTCGGGGGGGGCTGAGACGTCGTGGGGGGTAGGAATTTCTTGTTGATGACCACGACGGTGATACCAGTCGTTCCGAGGTTTTTCTGGGCGCCAAAGAAGATGGCCGCGAAATTCTTGATCGGGATCGTCCTGGAAAGAATGTTGGAGCTCATGTCGGCTACAACGATTGGTCCATCAGGCCCCGGCTCAAGGGACTTGGGGAACCCGGGGAACTCGACGCCGTCAACCGTCTCGTTGTCGCAGTAATAGACCATGGCGGCACCGGGAGTGAGGTTCCAGGTACTCTCATCTGGAATTTTTCCAAACTTGCCGTCATTCGTCTTGCGGCTATCGGCCACAATGTTGACATGCTCTGCGCCAAAGAGCCGCTCAGCTTCGGCGGCTGCCTTTTGCGACCAGCTACCAGTGACGATGTAGTCCAACTTGAGGTCCTTCACGGCCGATTGGAGCTCCGGTACTGAGCCACCAGGCTCGCTGTGTTTGCGCGCAACCCAAGCGCCAACCAAGTTGTAAGCCGTAGCGGCAAATTCGCCCGTCCCACCGCCATGGAGGAAGAGAATCTCGTAATCGTCTGGGATATCGAGGTACGACGCCAGGTCGGCTTTGGCTTCGTTGATGATATTTGTAGCCATCGCCGACCGGTGCGAATGCTCGGCGATGCCGAGTCCGGTGTCCCGGAAGTTGACAAGAGCCTGAGCAGCATCCTCAATTACCTCAGTAGGAAGAGGTGCTGGGCCCGCACCAAAGCAGGTTACCTCTGACCTGGAAGGCATGATGTATGGCAAGTTGTGAATCGTGGGAAAGGGGACAGCGTTTCTCCGGCGAGGGCGTGCTCGTAGGGGATGGCAATTGCTGAGCGTGGTGGAGAAATTGTCATTGAATATTTATGCATTGACTCATGGAGTTCAACTGTCCGGTGTCGGTAGCGGGCGGGGTCATCGGGCCCAGGAATTATACCAGCTCCGATGGGTGGGGCCCGCGGGCAGGGCCCGTCACGGGGTCCTCGCTCCCGATCATTAATCTATCATTAATCTATCCTGTGGTAGTTACTTCGTGGGGTGCATAAGTTGTGTCCTTTCGAGGTACCGCTGGGGCACGCCAAACTGCTTTCCCTCGTGGCTGCGCTTTGCGTGACGAATATTTTCTCTTCGCTGGCAGAGCTGAGCAATTGCACGTCCTGGCGAGGTCCGGTCCGCTCCCAGTGCGCTCCTATTTCATCGGCCCGGGAGCAGGCGTGCCAGCTGGTGCAAGCGACTTGGGCCGCGTCGGTGTAAGTCGTCAAGATTCGGACACAGTTCCAGCTAACAAACTCTCCAGCAACAATCCAGGCATTTCTCGAAGATCACACAGCACTTGATACAACTTGAAACAAATTCATGGATGCCAACACTTCAAGTTTTTACCCCCTCTAAATTTTTTCGTTCGTCTGTACCTATGTCAAACCTCCTTCGTAACCCTCATTCAGTGTAGTAGTCATGTGCGACCCCAAACAACATAAACTCTAATACGGGTAGCCACCGGCCACCACCCGTCAGACAGTGTCCGATGGACAAGTTTTTGCCCGCCGATTCATTCCCGAGACGGACGGGGACCGCGATGCTCGGCGCTTAGATCGGCGTGCTTCCGCTTCAGCGACAGACCGACGTAGGGCCATTGCGTTACGGCGGAGTGCGTGAACGGTTGTGTTACGCGCCGTGGAAGCGCTGAAGTCGAGAGTAGAGGTGGTCGGGATGAGAGGTCTATCCGTTCGGGGGGTGATGCCCAACCCTGACACGTGATTGTCCCAGGTTGAGTTCGTAGGCCGCGGCACCATCAGACCCAAACGGGCAGTTCCTCCGTTTTGGAATAACTCGTCATTTTGGAGGAAGGGTACTTTGGCTTCTAGAACGTCCGAGTAACGCTGTGGTCGGAATCTGGTAGTCGTTAGCTAATAGGCCGCTTAAACAGGTATTGATCGTTGGAACGGCGCACCCAGAGCTGAGGATGTCGGTATCGCGTATGAATATGAGTCCCTCTCTGAGGTGTCGCTCGAAAGCAAAGCTAGCGGTAGCTTTTGGCCGTCTTGCGTCTGCGATTAACTTGACGAAGACACCTTGATGGTCTCTCGTGGAACTGCAGCAACGGGCACTGGAGATCCACTTGTACTGGTCGAGAGATCGGAATGCCATTCTCGACCTCTCATGAAGTTTGTTGAGGAAATTTCTCTGAACAATGCTTTGGTCAACCACGACGAGGCTTGGGAGGGTAGGTAGGTAATATGTAAGGACGCTAGTGGTTCAGATGGAGAGTGTACTTACCAAATTTGCCAGGCTTGTTGCAGCAAAGTTCCGCTTTTCAAACTTGTGAGTGGCGGCAAAGACGATCCAAAGAGCGCAGCAAATGGTGGTGGGATTGTGGTGCTTGTCGGCCCCGCTCATGGAGACCGCGGCCCTGTAGCAGAGTTCCTGGATGAGCACTTGGACATGGTGGGCAACCGAATACGTGAGCTCCAGGACGAGATTTTTTGCATCGGCGAGGTCTATACCACCGTGAAGGCCGACGGTGAGTGGGTTTAGGTATAAGGCGTTGTCATCCCAATTGAGCAGCACTGTGAGCCAGTACGCGCAGCTCCACGCCGTCAACAAGGTCCCATGCTAAGCCGTGTCAATGTCTGTCGTCTTGCCAGTCACGATAACGCTAGAAGAAGAGGAACTTGCATCGAAATTCGCGAAGGCATCCATCTTCGACATGTAAGATGGTAGCCTCCGACCACTGAATCCGTCCAGTTGAATCCCGTTTAGCGCTGGGGCAACGATATTAGCCCCTGATGCTGCTGCTGCGGTCGCGGTGGTTGCGAGTCTCTTGATCCCCACTGCTGAGCTCGTCGTCGAGTAGTGTGAGAAGAAACCCTTGTCATCAATGTAACACACCAAGTTGCCACCAAAAAGGGACTCAAGAGACTCGCCGGAGCTAAATTGGGACACTTGGTCGATTTTCTCTCGCAAGGCGACCAAAAGATCTTGGACCTCACCTGTAGTATAACGCGTCAGTATTGTCTCCTCCCGAATACCCCCGAAAGGCGGCGTTGAAACAGTACCAAGCTCAAGAAACATGATCCTGGGTAACGACATCATCTCCTCACTCGGTTCGACGAGCAGTTGCACCGGGAACGGAGTAAGGCCGTCCACCACCTGTGCGAGGCTCCCGTTATCAGCTCGCCTCCGAGTATCCCCATTGACCTTTGATTCGAGATGTCGACACCTAGAACAAACGGATCCGACACTGCCGTCACACTTTGCCTGCAATCCCATTAGTCATCCTTCGCTCACAGAAGGCTTTGGAAATGTCCAAACCTGTGGCACACCTGCAAATCTGCACGGAGCACAGCGAGAAGCGGTGGGCTTGACATTGGCCTGCTGCGGTGTTGTTGTATTTGGGTCCTTGAGCGCCAGATCTTCTTCCTCAACGGGGATCCATTTTTGTGTTGGTAAGACCAGGGCGACTCCTGTACTGTAGACATCTTTTCGTTTCTCAGCTTCGGTGTTTGACTCCCAAGCGGTACGATCAAGTATGGAAGTGGGGAGATATCCCACGCGGTCCGGCGTCGGATCGTTGGTAGGGGGCAGAGGTGCCGTTTGATTGAGCTCCTGAATCGACTGAGCCGTTTCGTACTGAAAACGTATGTTATCATCCGTGGTGGAAACGGCGAATTCAGCATCCTGAAGAGGGTCAGCGCTCTAGGACTCGGGTAGCCACGAGGGGAACAACATCTTGTAACAGCCCAGAGTTTTGAGTAGCCTCTGGAGACTCCTCCCAAACAGTTGCCCACTTCATCAGATCGCCGAGGTCCGTTTGCCAATCGCAATCGAAAGTAAGGTCGGTGGGGGGCCTGGGGTGATGGGTGCAGCCAGTCGATTACGAACTCGTCCCAATCCGGATTCCAGATATCATCTTCTAGGGCCGCCGAATTGGCCCAGGAGTTACTGTTGGGAATCTTGTTTGGGTCCATAACGGGATGGGGTTGTCTTCACATGCCTCTTAGCCGACAAGGTATCTGTGAAGGTGAATGTCGACACAGGACTTACCGAGTGGTCCGAGTCGGCCAGGTCAGTGAGCAAATGATCACTCTGTGGCGGGTTCGAGCCTGGAGAGGTGAGAAAAGAATGGCACTGAACGGGTGCAATGAACTTGGAGTTTTATACTCCCCAGCATCCTAGACACCCCGGTTCTGCACATGCAGCTAGACGATGTGCGGCCATGTAGTTACGAAAGAAAGACCGCCAACCCCGGTTGCTGTACCGTCGCACAAGCTGACACCATGCGTACACCCGACAGAGGAATCATCTATCCCTCAGCCAATCGATCCCATGATCCAACCCAACGCGTCCTGCGCCCTGGTTGTTCAGATACGCCACGACGGGCGAGCCTTGCGTGGGGAGCACATCCGGCGGCGTGAAAGGCGCTCCCGGGTCCGCGGTTGTGCTTCGCCTGCGCTCGCAGCACGACGCGATCAGCACCCCGGCCTGCCGGGTGGTGCGGGTATAGGCGGGCCACCGCGTGCAATCGTGTTGACACTCTTGAGCGAGACGAAGTCGAGGTCTGCCGTTGCCGTCTGTGGGCGTGATCAATGCGCCCTGTATCTTGGCCTTCTGCGGTGAGTTTCCCCAATGGGGAACTTGAATGCATGATATGCATCATGTCATCTGTACTCGTGCAAATTCGCTCTCCTTCCGACGAAAAAGTCCGGCAACGTGGGATGTCAGAAATTGACCACCGGCAGTTTTGGACGCCCGTTCGTTCGTGACCAATGTCCGGTGCAAAGCCCAACCAAACAGCGTCCGGTCGTGGTCCCAGACAACCGACACTTGCTTGACCCGTGCTGGTGCTGCATGACGAGGGAAAAGCGGCGTTAGTGTTGCATCGTCTTTGAAACGCGCGCCTTTTGAATCGCGCCTTTGAATCACGGCGCTAGTCCTGCACGACCAAAGAGTGGAAGTCTTCGTCAACCTTCAACGCATATGCTTAAAAGCAGAACGCTAAGCCCAATTCAATGTAGTAACAAACTCTACCCTTGGCATTCGGGTCCAAAACCCACCCAGAAACTGTCTGCACAAACCCCGAATTCACTGGGATCAACCCAATGAGCGCCGTGTGAATCAAGGCCCATGACAAGCGCCATACAGCCCCCGTGGTGGCCCATGAGCTGTTGGAAGGCGCGGGGTTTGACCTTACCGAATGGGGAGGGCTCTGGCGAGCCCCCCCGATCCAGTAAGGTCAGAAAACATGCTGGCTTGTTCCCTCGCTCTCGTCTTCTCTGAAGCAAGCACGGCCATCGTCAGTCGCTAATACTCGCTATCGAGAATCATGTCTCTTTCCGAGCAGCTACAATTCTGTGAGGCAAAGGTCCAAGAGTTGGAAGCGAAAAACCAGCAGTTGCAAGCTCGAATACGCCGTTTGGAGGCGGAAAACCAATCTTTAAGACAGCTGGATTCCTCACCACAACCGCCTCAATAGCCAAATGGATTCACATTTGTTGTTGAAATCCCACGGAGTCAACCACGGGATCAAGAAAGCCAGACCCCCCAACTAAATAACCTGTTAGATGTTGCACCGAAGACTGATGTTGGAAAGCCAACAGCTACGAATTGACTGTACCAAGGTGATTGGGTGCCAAAAGGTGATGAAAGAGGGGCAACCAGTCCATTGATGATGATGTCTGTGTCTCTGTGTCTCTGTCTTATTCCCACTGCCGCGGGCCTCGCCCTGATCCTGAAAATACTAATTAATGCCCAGCCACTAACTACCAAAATTTCGGGCCGCTGTCACCTGGCCAGCATACCATACCGATGCGTGACATCCGCAAAGTCGCTTCGAGATCAACAGCGTCGAAGCAGCAGCAACATTGCCGACGACCCAGTCACATCGACGACCCGATCTCTTCATGTAATGCCCTCACGCCGGTACGCTGCCATTTCTTTTATGCTTAGGGGCTCAAACTGACCCTCTCGATGCACTTCTAGGTACCTTTTGCCATGACAGAGCATTCCACGGAACTTAAGTGGTGCAAGGCGGGTATCCACGAGCCGGGACATATTCGCTCACAGCAGCGAGTGCTCTCTCTTCGGCTTACGACCTTAAGCGGCTTATTTGTTGAAGCCGTTCCTTCCTCTAAGCCGTAGAGTGACTGCTCTCGAAGGCAAGAGCGGTTGGGTACCAGCCCGAGGGAAGGAGCGGGCTGTGGATCGAACCGATTAGGTGCCCTAAGCCAGCAACGTACCGTCAACCTCCCGCTCACTCGCCAGGAGCTGCTCTTTTTGCTCGAGCCGGGATATAGTAAGCCGTCAAGGTTTTTCAATATCAGCATGCGGCGGTAATGAACCATCCCTCGACCGTGCGGCCCGTCAAGATCTACGAGAGCCTAGACAACCTGTTTCAAGATATCTGCACTCACGGACAGGCACACAGCTATAGCATCGTCAAGAATGGGAAAAAGGACTCAAATACAAGTTCAGATGTGCCAAGGCTCGCAAGTACAAGGATCAACGCTCCGCCGAAATTCACGAGAGCAAGCGGAGGAAGTCCAGCGCCCAGATGACCGGCTGCAAGTTCCGACTGACAGCCAAGCCGCTACCTGACGGCAAGTGGCTGCTAGAGGTGCCTGAAGGGGAGTTCTTATGTCACAACAACGTCAATTGACATGATGATTTTGCTGTGCCATTGGGGGAATCTCAGAACTTTTGGCGCTGTTAGCCCTGTTTTACGTGAATTACATACGTTACGCGAGCTGACGGCCCGTCACTGGTAAAAGAAAAACGATTACCCCGATTAGGTATAGCTGGGTGCTTGATAGTATTTCGTGGGTGCTTGGGAGCCCTTCCCTACAACTATTGCATCCCACTACAATCGCGGCCCTAATGTTACAAGCAATGCCCTCTTTGATCGCTTCCATGCCTGCCCCAACACTTTTTCCCGCAGATTCTAAGACGTCCCTCTCCAGCGTCCTCCTGAGTCCTAGGATGGAGAAGGCCTCTGGGGTTTCTTTCTGCTATGTTTGGCATTAGCGAGTAGCAAACAACAATAAAATATGTACTTGTTCTTCCCCACTTACATCGGAGCCTTAACCGGCGACTTCTCCTCAAACCTGCTGCTCTCTTGAGCCTCTTCACCGGGAGTCTCCACTTCAGCAACCGGCTCAGGCAGGACAAGCGGGTGTTCCCTCGCCCAAGGAAAGCGAATGACCACCTTGATCTCCAACTTCTGGTCAAACCGCTCGTAAGCCTTCGGGGCATCCTCAATCCCAATTTGTGACGTTGTAATCCAGCTCAACTTTGCCCTCCCGTTCTTGACAAGTTCAACAGCCGTGGGCATGATTTCATAAAGCGAGGGATTGACAGGCCCGGACCCGAAGGACAGGTTCTTCTTGAATATCTCTGGCATGGCGATCGCCAAGTCCTTATCCATCAAATCCCCGCGCGGCGCCCCAGCCGATTTCCCCTGGGCAATGTATACTCCCAGTATCCCAATCCCCCCATTGTACTTCGTCACCCGAACCGCTTCCTGAAGAACATAATTCTGCCGCGGCTTAAGATCATGATCCAGACACTCCTGGCCAATACAATCCACACTCCTCTCGACACCCAACGGCTGGCGGCGCAAGATCTGCTCGCTCGCGGTGCCCGCATTAGAGCTAAAATCAATGGGAACGGCCCCAACCGAAGCCGCCTTGTCAAGCCGCTCGCGTACATGGTCGATCGCATACACCTTGGACGCGCCGCGGAGGATGGCCGCGTACGCGCACAGCAGGCCAACGGGGCCGGCGCCGAAGACGGCCACCGAGTCGCCCGCCTGGAAATGTGCGTAGTCGAGCCCCGCCCACGCCGTGATGAAGATGTCGGTGAGGAAGAGCCAGTCGAGGTCCGAGGAGAAGTCGTCCGGGATGGCGACCAGCGAGTCGTCTGCGAAGGGGACGTGCAGGTACTCGGCTTGGGCGCCGCCGTCGGGGCTGAACTGGGGTCCGGCGCCGTAGAGATGCCCCTGGTCTCGTTGGCGCTTGTCGACGGAGAAGAAGCCGCAGTTGGCGGAGCACGGGATGAGGACTCGGTCGCCGGGTTTGAAGTGTCCGACGGCGTGACCGACCTCGGTGATGATGCCGACGCCTTCGTGTCCCATCGTCCATGGCGGGGTGGGGCTGCCGAAGATGCCGTGGTAGGTGTGCAGGTCTGTGCCGCAGATGGCAGCGGTGGTGATGCGCACGATGGCGTCTTGGCTGTGGATGATCTCGGGCTTGGGGACATCGCGGACCGCCATCTCGTAGGGCTTGCCTTCCCAGACGACGGCACGCATTGTATTCTTGCCGCGGCGGGGGCCTCTTGTTGGGATGACGTCGGAAGACGACATGCTGAGGGAGGGGTGTTTGACGTCTGGAAATAGTAAACTGGTAAAGGAGTCGTGCAGTCTGTCAATGGTGAGTCTGAACACCAAAAAGAGCAATCCGCACACCAATCTGGAGATCCTCCATAGCACGTTAAAAAGACCCATGTGGGGGAAGTGATGATTCGTCTGATGAACAGCGCGGTAGTGTCTTATATGCTGCTAGCCATACTTTGCGTCATGGCCCCTTCTTTCGGCCCACTTACCCCCTCAACTCGACTCTAACAAGGCCGCCCTTCCTGGGAGTCCTGTTACACCAGTACGCCTCCAAGGCACTTGGGCATCTTTTGTTTCAGACCCTTCGGGCTCGGATTGGTTGATGATCGGTTACGAAAAGCAAGAAAGCAGCGGGTTGGGTAAGATTATGGTATCTAGTGGACTATTGTCACAGGTACATGTAGCCATTCAATCAGGTCTTGTCTGTTTCTGACGCCCACACATCGTCCTCGGACGCTTCTTTTCCCGCGATCCGAACCAACAACACTGGCCCGCCAGGAGTCCCCTGTCCCAGACGCTTTAACGCGGGTTTTGTTGAAGTTAACATGGCGTGCCCTATAAGCAGGCCTCTTGAATGACCGCATACAATGGCGAGTCCGGTTTTTGATTTCACTCAGTATTGCATGTTTCGCTCCTTATTGTCTTTCTTTCTTTTCAGGGGTTGCGTATGTGAGAGAAATCGTTATAAAGGAAGCTAAACCCCGTTGGTCTGCCAGCTCTCCGAGCCTTCCGCCCCCTTTAAGGTTTCTGGCCCCCGAAAAGGCATACCAAGACCGGGCGTGGTTATTTGGCGACTGAACGAGCTGCCGTTTTTCTCCAAGTCTCGTCCTCGTACACCGAAACACAAATGTTTTACTCCAATCGGCCACTAGAAACACCCGTCACCATGGCTACTGCGGAAGATCAAGGCGATCAACGCCCGTATTCGATCCAACAGAGCTGGACTATTTTTTGTTCTACCCGTAAGACTTTGTACACAAAGGGCTGAAAATGTTGCGCTGACCCCGTGCCATCACCCATAGACTTTGGAGGGCCAGTTTCCAACTTTGGCATTCCCTCTTGCAGCGATCGCCGGACAGCAGGAAAAGTACGGAAATGTAAGACGTCAGTAACATGGGGTTGAGCCTCGCACACAGCGTACTAATGGTATATTTCCCCAGGATATCCGGCCCCGATGACCGGGGCCCTTGTCATTTACGCTTTCACCTTCATGCGGTATTCGTTGGCTGTGACACCCAAGAACTACCTGCTTTTCGCGGTGCCACTTTGTCAATGCTGGGTCCCAGCTGACACAGAGCTACCGATTTCTGGATTACCACTACTGGGGAGCAAAAGAGAGCGGGAAGTATCCGAAGTCGATAGCTGCTGTTGCACCGGCAGCATAGGTAATCAACCAAGGGCGGGGGAAATGACGGGCCTACAATAACAACGGTGGTAATCCTCACGTATGTCTGGTCGGCCATTCGGCGGCGAATATCGTGAACCCGAGTTGCGGTGTTGGCAGCGCCAATGAAGCACAAGAATAAATGTAAGCTGAATAAACAACCTACCTTAGGTACCTATCGATCAAGTCGATGTTGACCGCCGGGGGTTTCCGATAATCGTCGGGCTAAACGACAGCAATTAGTTGAGGCTAAGTCTCATGCAGTGTTACCATCCGTTTTCATCTCATGTTGGGTTGGTTGGGCACCCATTGGGCGCAATGCAAAGCTACCGACGACAGTGTTGAGGGCCGAGTGGGAACACCTCGACCGTGCCGACGCGCCTGTCAACACTTTGCTTATCCAGCGACCATTGTTATCATGTCACGATGTGGGACTTTTCGAGTGTCCGATTCAAAATCAATTCTAGTTGCCACCCCTTCTCGCAGCCGGGATTGCTAATTGGTGCGACTCCGGATGCATGTAAGCAGGCAGAGAGAAAAAGAAATATGCCTGCCGCCCTCGCACTGTTTTGGACGGCCGAAAACGTCACAGTCCTTTGCCCTTTTTGTCACAAATCCCACGAACATAGACCCGAACAGTTCAGTCGACGGGGGGGCTTTGGTAGCTTCCTTCAAGACACGCGGGGACGATACGAATATGTTAGACCTTCGGACCACCACGTGTTTGACTATGCTCCTTGCAGTTACCGTGGTAGGGTACAGAGCTTTGCCGCCTCGTACACGATCCTGTTTCCGTTCGAAGACCATCCCAGGACGGAGGGCTTGGACTTCGAAATTGATCCCAAGCATGGTGCGGCCTCCTTGCACCACAACCGAAGGACACTGAGACCGAAAAGCACCGTATGATTTGTCTTGGGCTAGAGAAGATCTCCACCGGAAATAATTTCATCACAAGCATGGAGAGCGGCAGCCCCTCGACATCAGCAACTGTTGTTGCTAAAGCAGTGGCAGGAGATGTACCCGGGATGGAAGACTCGTTGTCCCAATCGCCAAACCCGCAATTCCTACTAAAAGCTCGGGATCCTGAGGAGGGAGGCTCCTTACTATCCATCGCTATCCGAAATACCCATTCGAAAGCTGTCGACTTCTTTATCGACCATGTCGTTGACGTGAATGCGGCGGACACCAAAGGCCGTACACCGCTCATGGAGGCCGCTCTCTGGGGACAACCTCGCATCGTTGACAGCCTCTTGAGAGCGGGCGCGCAGCGACATACGAGACAACAGTGGGAGGGTTGCAGCCGAGTTTGCTGAAGAATCCGAGGTCAATGACGAAGAGAGACACCAGCGGCACCCTGGCTATTCAGAAAATCCGTATTTCGCAAAGCAGGACACGAAAGTTTATCAGAGGGTTGCTTGGGGAGGCAGTCCCTCTCGTGGAGCCATACCCGAAGAGTCTCGCAGTGGACAATGTCGACGATGCCTTCTTCTACAAGTTGGCACACACTAACACAATATCATCTGTAACCCCTAGAACTGGAATTCACATTTCAAGCCTGTCCAAGACTTGTGCTTTTCTGGATCGTGGAAAACCCTTCCCCCTCGTCGGGGCGCTCAGCGGTTTCACAGGCCCAGACGATCAAGAATTTCTTCCTCCCGGCGATGGATTTGAGCAACTGAACTGTCAATACTGGCAGCAAGAAACAATGAAAATTACACGAGCATTCGTCTTCGAGTTCGCCCGTCACGCCTGCGACCAGGGCAAACCTGGAAACTTCTTTGCCTCCCACGCCGAAGCGATGCTAATGTGTTTCTATGTCAAGAGAAACTACATCTTCGGGGACTACAAGGAGGAAGACACGGTCAAGGACGATTTCCTTCAGCTCTTCCTGTTGCAACCGAGGAATCGTGGAGCACGTATCATTGTTAGCAAAAAGCCATGTGACTCGTGCACAAAGTTGCGGGAGTGCATACAATCGAAGCTAGACATAAAGTTCAACCTCACGGTGCTAGAAACAAGGAGAAAGGGGGATGAGGAGAGCCAAACTAGCCACCTGCCCCTATACAATGATCAACCTTAGATAGAGTACGGACTGGGGGGGGTGTTACCCGGACACTGCGGCGGCAATATTGTTTTCTTCGGTGGTATTCGCTCGGCCAGGAGTCGCGTCAAGTCACAACACGGTGGAACCGATATCAGATTGAGGATAGTACCTATAAAAAGATGACAGAAGGGATATAGGCACCGCCATTGTGGATAGCATGGACACGTTGAACTGGGCCGACGCGTGACAGACAAGATCTGACTTTGACACGGAGAAAATATTGTCTGCGGAGTTTTCCAGACGCAGCCACCGGATGTCGTACATACTACCCCAGCATGCCGTTTAAGGCAATCCATGACAATGGATCTTAAACATGCTCACCGTGGACAAGTTCCTTTCCCTTATCCACTTCACTCCCATCCTCCATGCCGGACGCATCTGACTGTTCTCTGTCACGGAGGACATTCCCGCGTTCACGATACGCCCGTTCCATATCCCAGTTGAATGGCCTCTTGGTAGAGAATAGGGCGTCGATCGACTCGAGGGATCTGTGTGCGGTCTCGGGGTAAACTGTCCAGACAGAGATGATTAGCACCCATATCATCTTTGCAAAGGGGGAAGCAAACTTACACAAGAAAATAATTGGAATCCACAACAAATTCAACCCAGCAAAGAGAAAGTAGGTCCTGTTCTCCAACCTCTCAAACATGATGGGGTTGACCAGCACCGTCCAGCCGACACCGATAGCCCAACCGGTGATGCCGAACCCGTTACCCTGCGCTCGCATATCCGACGGCCAGATCTCGGTCGGCACCAAAAACGCCACGGTGCCCCACGTCGCCGCGTAGCAGATGTTGAACAAGAACAGCATGGCGACCGCGGCGGGAGCAAAAGTCGAGGCACGCTCGGGGTTGCCCCTGGAAGCCTCGTACAGGCTCGCCGCCACCAAATTCACCACCAACAGCCCAAAAGAGCCGCCCATGAGGCAAGCACGCCGCCCAAGCCGGTCAACAATCTGCGCGCTGATAATGGTACCAACGATACCGACCGTGTTGAGCCCGCCGGCCAAGCCGTTCTGTGTCAGCTCGCTGTAGCCGGCCGCGGAGAGCAGCACGGGCGAATACGCCGTGACCGCGGTGATGCCGGTCCACGACGCCATGATCTGTAGCCACAAGCAGAGCCAGGCGCGGCGACCGAGGTGCGCGCCGGGCTTGCCGCCGCGGCCGGCGAGGATCTTGGCGAACTGGATGGGCGAGCTCTTCTGGCTGCCTTTGGCCACGGCCGCGATCTCGAGGAATTCCTGTTCGACTTCGGGCCCGTAGCCGCCGCGGACGTGTTCGAGGACCTCGCGGGCGTCGTCGAGTCGTCCGGCGGAGGCCAGGTAGCGCGGGCTGTCGGGGAGCAGTTTGATGCCGGCGAGGAGGAGGATGGCGGGGACGCATTGGAAGGCGAGGAGGAAACGCCAACGCACCTCGGAGTATCCGTTTTCGACGAAGGCGAGCCCGAAGGAGATCCAATAAGCGACTGCGATGCCAAGGTAGTTGGCGATGAAGACGTATCCTAGGAATCCGCCGCGGTGTACTGCTGTGGATGTTTCGGAGACAAGAACGGGGGTGATGCCGGTCAGGGCGCCGGTGCCTATGCCTGTGATGACGCGCGCTACGATAAGGAAGTCGCTCGACTGTGTCGCCGCTTGAAGGGCGCCGCCGATGAGGGCAACGATGGCTGAGAAGAAGAGACTGGCTTGACTGTCAGCTACTAGCGTTGCCTAGGTAGATGGCGCGAAGGATCAAGAGATCAAATAGGTACTCACCCGTTGATCCGCCCTATCCTGTCGGCGGCCCAGCCGCCGGCGAAGCAACCAAAAATGCAACCGAGGTAGTACACTGAAACGATACCTCCTTGATGAACAGTATCTGTGATGGTGCCGTCTGGCAGACCGATGCCAACTTCGGTGACGTAGCGAGGAGAGGCGTTCACTCCTCCCATAACACCCTGGTCGTATCCTTCGAAGAAGATACTGATCAGGGAGAAGGTCTGGATAGCAACATTGAGCTGGCGAGGCGATAGCCTCTTCCAAAGGGTGGTGAAACCCATGGTGACGGTGGTCCGAGTTGCGAGGAAATCAAGGGGCACCGAGGGGAAAGCGTGCGTTTGGAGTAGTGCGGGAGGATGTCCGCCTACAAAGCATGGCGACCAAACTGACTTATGTCTCTGCCCTCGCAGGCTCACAGCCTCGTGGCGTCCCTTAGCCAAGAGAGTCAGCCAAGAGAGTCGAGGTGCCGAGTCCTAAGTTCCCGGCAACATGGCACGCTAACGCAGAAGCACGTCGGCACCGGTCAGCCTTCCCAACCAACTGCATGCCCCAGAGGAAACCCCGGACCCCGCAAAGGCCCCAGACCCCGAAGATCTGGGAGATGACACTGGTGGAGTGCGTCCATGTGGCGACGGCCAACGGTGAGTATCAAAGTTTTGATTCGTCCATGTCTCGGAAATGCCGAGTCGCCGCTTAAGCGTGTAGCCGTGTAAGCGCGTAAGCGTGTACCCGTGTTGCCGTAGCCGCTTAACCGCTTAACCGTCCTCCGTACTGCCGAAAGGGGTGTCTCTTACCAGAAAATGGGGATCCCATCATCGCAAAATGGATTCAATAATTAGGTAACCACGTGCGGATCGGAAGTACGATTTCGAGAGTGGCGTCTTTTCTTCTCGAATGATCCGGGCATTGCCCAAAGCTTTCTGTCTCGGGGTGTTGAAATAGCCGCCCGGTCCGCCCTCGTAACTCCATGCCATCAACACCACACCCGCCTTTCTCCTCGGTTCAGTACGTTGAAAGAATGGCTCAAGGCGCACAAGTAAACGGCCATGTGGCGGAAAATGGGCAACCCGCAGCCGGGCAGCCGCTACAGCTCGTGGTTCTGGGCATGAACAGCGGGACATCCATGGTGAGTACCCTGCAGGCTGCAGCAGGTCGAGAGAAAGGAAACTAACCCAACATAGGATGGCATCGACTGTGCGTTGTGCCGCTTTCGACAGGAAACACCCGACTCCCCGATGCACTTCTCCCTCCTAAAGTATGGCGAAGTACCACTGGACCTTGAACTCAAGAAGCGTGTGCTGTCCATCATCAAGCACGACAAGACATCCGCCTCCGAGCTGTCCGAAGTCAACGTTCACCTCGGCGAGACCTTCGCCGCCGCAGCCATCCAATTCTGCAACGACAATGCCATCGACATCAAAACCATCGACGCCATCGGCTCCCACGGCCAAACCATCTGGTTGGCCAGCATGCCCGACGCCGGCATCCCCAAATCCGCCCTAACCATGGCCGAAGGCACCATCATCGCGTCGCGCACGGGGCTCACCACCGTCACCGACTTCCGCGTCTCGGACCAAGCCGCCGGCCGACAAGGCGCCCCCCTCATCGCCTTCTTCGACGCGCTCCTCCTGCACCACCCCACCAAGCTCCGCGCCTGCCAAAACATCGGCGGCATCGCCAACGTGTGCTTCATCCCGCCCGAGGGCCCCGACCGCGCCTACGATTTTGACACGGGACCCGGCAACGCCCTCATCGACGCCGTCGTGCGCCACTACACCGACGGGGCCCTCGAATATGACCGCGACGGCGTCATGGGCAAGCGCGGGACGGTCAACCAGGACATGGTGGATGCCTTCCTGGCGCGCATCCCCTACTTCAGCTGGGACCCGCCCAAGACGACGGGGCGGGAGGTCTTCCGCGACACGCTCGCGGATGATTTGATTAGGGAGGGGGCGCAGCGGGGCCTGTCGGCGGATGATGTGGTTGCGACGGTGACGCGGATCACGGCGCAGGCGATTGTGGACCATTGGCGGCGGTATGCGCCGGAGGGCAGGGCCGTGGATGAGGTGTTTATGTGCGGGGGTGGTGCGTACAATCCGAATATTACGGATTATATGAAGGAGCAGCTGCCGGGGGTCAAGATGTTTATGCTTGATGAGGCGGGGATTCCGGGCGGTGCGAAGGAGGCTGTCACGTTCGCGTGGCAGGGGATGGAGGCGGTTGTTGGGCGCAGCATACCGGTCCCGGATAGGGTGGAGACAAGGAGGCCGTATGTGCTGGGGAAGGTCAACCCCGGGGCGAATTATCGGACGGTGATGAGGAAGGGGATGCTGTTTGGTGGGGGGAGGGCGGAGCTGGAACCGGTGAAGGAGATGGTGAACTATGTGGATGGGAAGGTGTTTGAGAATAAGTGGTAATAGAGGGCCGGGACTGTAAATAATAGATGTTCTGATAGCTATGGAGTGATCGTAGATGTTCCCCCTTTTTCTCAAATTGTCAACCTCATGTGTGACCAAGTCAAAATGATAGATATGTGTTCGACATGGCAAAAGGCCAGGTCCAGTCTCGAAAAAACTCATCAGGCAGCTGAAACTGAGGTGACAGGTCTGGCATCGCGGTCTCACCCCAGCCGTTCTCAGGGGGGGGAGGAACGTCTTGAAAAGACGGCCCAGCGGGTTCGGTGCCGTCGTGAGTCTGGACGAGCCGCTGGTCCCCCCTGTCCTCCATGTACTCTTCCAAGCGTGCCACCAGGTCCCGGAGCTTGCGCCCTGCCCCGGCGTTCCGGTGGAGAAACGATTCAAGGCTCTCCAACAAGTCAGCCATGGAGAGTAAAAGATCTCTTACTCGTCGGCACGAGCTCTCGGACAGGGGGCCCTCCATCACCGAACCCAGAATAATGCCGATGCCGCCGATATGGTAGATGAGGGGCGTGCTGATGGCCCTCAAATACGACTTCGGGACCTGGTGGAAGATTGTGAGCACGTCACTGACGACGGAGCACTTGGTCTCCAGATCGGCTCCGCCGCCTTCAAGGGAGAGGTAGACCATTCGCAAGAGGGCCATTGTGGCTTGTATGTTGGCGGCTTGGAACCCGTAGATGTCCTTTGCTGGATCCCCAGTGGCGGGTTGAAGCTGCTTGAACACCGGCGGAAGAGCTGAGTAAAGCTCAGCTACGCGGTCCTGGCTCATTAGGGGCAGTGAAACGCCACTACTCGCCACATCGCCCAGGAGGTTGAACTTGGAAGACCGAGATCGTAATCTGCTAAGATTATGTTCCAGGATTCGGTAGAGGTCGGTGGTAAAATTCCAACCCGTGATCCAGTGGGCTGCGTCATTCTCGTCCAGGTTATCCGTGTCGCTTTTTCCTGAAGGATACTCCACCCTCGCATGGCTTTCTTGGTAGTGGATGCAACCGTCCCAAACAATGGACGAGTAGACATCGAGCGTGTACATGGACCAATACTACGTCTTGTGTTCAGCACACAATTACTTGGAGTTAAGAACTAGAAGTTGTATGGAATGGCTTACCAGTCTACGCCATTCCTCCTTCTCCGAGGACTGTATATCTTCTGGCCAGTTCCACTCGTCATGCCACCGATTGATGGCAAGCATGGTGAAATAATGGCCAATATACATCTGCATCGTCCGTATCTTGGCGTCTTGCAAGCTGGCTAAAGCCAAAAGCGCGTAGCCGCGGAGACAGTCAAAGTCACGGCACTGAAGGATGCTAGTCGGAAGAGCCTCTTCGGCCGCTGCGAAGAACATCTCTGGAGACATGGCTGCGGGATCTGCTGAAAGTAAACCTTGCTGGGCTGATGTTAGCGCGCCATCCCGTATCCTTGCTGAAGCAAGAGCACTGGCTGCCATGATGGAGCAAAAGAAGGCACGGTTTCGGGAGTGTTCGAGGGCCTCGAGCCTGCGCTCGAGCCTGGTGGGATCAAAGAACGGGAAGCTGTAGCAATGTTCAAATCGTCAGGTCTTGTTTCAACTCTAGCTGATTTGAAGACAGCCCCAAGTACTCACATTGGGTAGACGGTTTGATGGTAGACAGATAGCAACCTTCGGACGACAGGGGTGGCAGTTCGCGCAAAGCCCTGCCAGGCTGGCCTAAGAGGCTCGGCCCACCCTCCTTGGGTTGTAGAACTGGCCTCTTCGCCCTGATCGAATCTTGAATGGTCCAGCCCTGACTCATGTGGAATAAGCGGGGTCGTAATACCCGTGCCCCCGGTTGGATCGCCGGCGTCGGCGTGACTGAGCGGTGCCGAATCTGCAACCGGTTGTCGCACGCTCGGTGGCTGCGGCCGGGAAACGGCGGCCCCGGTGTGCGAGGAGTTACGGTTTGCCCCTCTCTTGGATGGCCGCGAGTAGTTACATTGCACATCAAAATCCGTACAGTTCTGGCAACGACCCGGATTCACCGGGCTGTTCTGACATTTGATGCGACGTTTGTGGCAAAAATCACCTAAATGAAACCTGTTAGCTGCCGCCCGCGGCAAGGAGCAGAGGGCCTAGATCGTGAAATTGAAGACCTTACATGCTTTGGAGTTGCGGAGCAGGCGTCGCGGGCGAGGGTTCGGCATCTATTAGTCGCGGACGCTCAAGCGAGTTATTGAATGGTGGTATCTCGGTATGCAGTTATGTTACAGTAAAGGGGGAGAAAATGAGGTCACTAAAAGTGTGTGGAACCGCCCAGGATCACGCTGCCGAAAGGGATTCATTCAGCTCTGGGCAGAAGAAAAGTACAGGGGTTAGGGTTTAGGCTGTCCTCGCGAAGGCTGTTTAGCACGTTAACATCAACCCAGTATCTAGCTCAGATCCGGTTGCTGGAGTACTGCAGCGTGGCTGCTTCTAGCCAGGCTGATGCTTGGAGGATTCGACCAGGTATGACGAGGAAGGCACCCAGTCGTAGTGGCAGGATCAGGTCCGTAATGGAGCTATCGAGCTTCGGGTTCTATGGGTACCGTGCCTAGGTCGGGCAGGTAAGGTACCTAGGTAGGTTGTATACACGGCCGCACGCTGGCAAGGTTACTGTTAACATCCAGGTAACTTCCGGTACCCTTTGGTTGAATCTTACCCACTTCAAACTTGAGAACTTTCACCACCCACGTTCAAGCCTTGCTACGCTTCAGTTCATGGCGCCCAGAAGCAAGAAGTACACGGCGATCATTGTAGTGCCCCTGGGTCCCGGATCACACCCTGATTTCCGACACTCGCGCCAAGATCTTCTCTATAAACCTCACACCCACCGCAACGCCGTCACCCCCTTCCTCTTCCCGAAAGCTCCCAAAAGCCTCATTCCCTTCATCCAAACAAGTCAAACAACTCTCCACCACCCGCGTGTACATATCCCCCATCCTCGCAGGCAACATCCTTCTCGCCATGCCCACGAGATCCTCCTTGACCCAGCCCGTCCTGTCCCCGACATGTGCCCGCTCAAACACCTTGTCCGTGAGCACGTTCCTCAAAGCGAGCGCGAGTCCCGGCACGGGGACAGGCTCGGAAACAGTTGAGACATCACCAGCATCACCACCACCACAACCGGGCATCTCATCCCCATCTACCACCGCTGTTTCCATGATTGTCGTAGTCGGGTACCAAACCAGCGGCCGCCACAGTCCAATCTCAAGCAGACAAACCCCGAGCGAGTAGATATCATGCTGCATGACGTAGCCGTCCAGGATGCGCAGGCCCTGGCGCGCCGGGTGCCGGTACAGGTTGCGGTGCCAGGCCGAGTCGCCGAGGAGGTTGGTCTGGTGGGCGAGCGACCGGAATTGTGTTAGGCCGACGAGGTAGGCGGTGCCGATGGGGTTGGGGTTGGGGTTGGGTGTGTCGGGAGGGGGGAAGATCAGGATGTTTTCTGGGCGGATGTTCTTGTGCACGAAGTTGCTGTGGGGGAAGGAGTTAGATGGAGGTATTCAGTGAGTTAGGGGGGTTAGGGGGTACGTGCCAGGCGTGGATGTAGCTCACGGAGCGGACGAGCTGCTTAGCAAGATTGATTATGGCGCTCAGGCTGGCGTCTTTCTGGTCGAGGAGACATTGCCGGAGGGTCATTGGTGGCTGTGGGGTGGACGGGGCGCGGTAAATAACTTCGAGCGCCCTAAGTCGCCCGCTCTGAGGGTCCGCCCTCCTCAATAAACCCTCGCATCTGAGTAGACCAAACGTGTCGGGGTCAATGTGCCGCAACCGTCTAGCAAGCCTTTCAATGTCAGGGATGCTTTGTGCGTTGATGATTGTGGAGAGGTCGACTGGTTCCGTAACCAGACGAGCGCCGGACTGCGCTTCAACCATGAGTTTCGCACTTGTGTAGCGTATCATCATTGTATCATGGATATTGGTGAGTTGGCCGACATCCAAATCAAGCCTGCCTAAATCCTGAACAACGGCGCCGGGGCTCTCAGCGTCGATGACCCTGCGAAGTGCACGCATGTTGTCTAAGGGCCCGGCCATCGCGTTCGACTCTGAGCCTTGGGTATCGGAAGACCCGACAAGCACCGGGTCCAGCACGCTTCTGCTGATGAGTATGATGAGATACCAAGAAGGATCGAATCGCCCCTGCCATGCTTCCAACTCCGCCAGTAATGTGTCGAGCGTCTTCTTCATGATTGCGTATTTCCATTTTCCAACCCTTAAGAACTTCAGGGTCTTGGCTCGTGACTCGAGGGAAGAAGAAGCTATTTCCAACTCTGAGACTGCTTGCAGCAGTGCGCCATTGAGTTTCTGAAGCAGCGTGAAGTGGCATTGGGCCAGTTCGTCCTTCAGGTGCCCCTGATCTGCAACCCGGCGAAGGAAGCTTAGCTGAGTTTCCAGTTTTACCCACACAGTTTCCAAGATGGTCACTTTTCTTGCGAGGTCTTGTTCAGCATCCCTATACGCTCTACATGTCGATAGAGCCTTGTTCGCGAGTCTGAAGGTCGTACGCGTGAGCTGAGCTATCACGGGTAACTGGCCCGGGTTAAAGGCGCCAACTCACTTGATGCAGCCATCTGCAACCCCGACAATGGCTAGGATGAGTTCAGCAGACATGACATGACTGTTGGGCTTGGACCGCCTGGCGCTTCACGTGTGACGTCCCAGAGACTAACAGAACCGATGTCTGTCGCGCGGGAGTTTGACGCGTTCGATAACCATCCGCGAACCATGCTAAGCGAGAGGTAAGGCGTTGCCTGTCAGCCTGAGCTGAGTTGTCTCCTGGGGCAGCGGCTGCTCAGTCCTCCTCATTCGCCGTGTCCTAGTGCCAAGTCAGCCACAATGCAGTCTTCGCTGGCTGGCATGCTTGTCGCGGAGTCTCCTCTCGATACCCCTGAAACTCGCGTCTACTTTACTCCCAGTTTCTGCTGTTCTAGAAATATGAAGTTCGAAGCGCTGTCAGCTGACAATGAGGGAAACAACGACACGAAGAAATGGATGAGAACCTAGACGACTTAGTGGCAGCCGCGAAGCTTGAGACCGAGTTCTCCCTTGAATGTGTAAAGCACCGCTTTCATGATGGGGCATCGTCCCCAGCCAGAGATGAAGTATGGGACCATTCGAGCCGAAATAGGCCACGGAGCATCCGGAGTGGTTCGGATGGAAGTACTCCGGACAGAGATATCCCAAGAACCACGGCTCCGGGCAGTAAAGCAGATGAGCAAGCGTCAGTCGAATGATGGCTCAAAATGGACGTATAGGGACGAACTGGCCGCAATCGTCAAGTTTTCGCAACCCCAAGTAGGTGCCTTACTTGGCCTACCTTATCAGAGTACGCGCTGACGTACCTGACACCACACAGTTTGATCCTCATTTTGTCAGCATCTTCGGGTGGTTTGACAACGAATCTTCGATATTCATCGCGATGGAGTATTTGCCTTCTGGTGACCTCGAGCGTTTCAGGGGCACTTCAGGCCCCTTCCCAGAACTGGATACGAGTTATATCGTCAAGTAACTTATCAAGGGTGTGAGGCATATGCACGAGAATGGTTTCACTCACCGCGATCTCAAACCTGCGGTAGGTCTATCATGGAACGGGCTCATTATTACCTGCTAGCGAGGGAAACAACTGTAGGGAATACCAGGTATCGCGATAGCGTTAGAAGCACAGGGCAATGGAGCTGAATGAAGAGGAGAGTCTAAACCAGTCACAGTAGAAGAAGCCGACACTCAACACCACGAGCCTCAACCACGAGCCTTAACCAGCAGGTCCCGCTTTAGCTGCTGAAGATAGGACGCTGAACACTTGGAGAAAGTAGCCTCCAAGCTGATCTGCTAACAACAACCAAGGCAAGAGGTAAATGGTGCAGCGAGAAAGAGGGAAGAAGTAGGGGGCTTGTACGAGTTAAACGCAAAACGATCTGATCCGGATGTAGCTAGCGTGCTAAGGCCCTATAGGCCCAGTGCCTCCGGGCGAAATAAATTCCATCCATCCATCCATCCAGCACAGGGCAAATCCCTTCTCTCTGGAGGGACGTGCTATATTCGTGGTTCAATTGGATCATGTTCTTCTATCTAGAAATGAGGGGGGCTCAGATTTTGCAGCCGGGGTTGTCGTCCCCGAGGTCCAGGACCACGTGACGACTGCCCCAGTGGTGGACCCCCCCCTGCCCTCCGTCACGTCCCCCTGCGAGGACGTAACTCTGGCGTAGATGTTCCGACAACAACTTAACTGACCGCAAGGTAGAACATTCTCATTGCCTCCATCAACCCTATTTGGCAGGTTAAGATCGCCGATTTTGGCATCAGCAAACAGGCTGTCCAAGGAGTAACACGCCAGTACACAGCAAATATGTTTGGTACCATGGGCTATGCAGCGCCCGAGGCGTTGGGATACTTCGATGAGGACGACGCTACCATTACGTACACCATATCGGTGGACATCTGGGCCGTTGGCACCATCGCCTTGACGCTCCTACTAGGACGGGATGTATTTCCTCGCCAGGGGGACCTTTCGAGATATGTTAACCAGCAGAGGGCACTCGACTTTGCCCGAGAAGAGGGTGGCGAGCTCAGTGATTCTTGCCGGGACTTTGTCACACGGATGCTTGCACCACATCCTGTAACACGACCTACTGCCATCGCCGCCCTAGCCCATCCGTGGTTGAAACAAGCAATTCTCCCGCCGCCGCCACTCGACGATGATAACGAGATACATGTTCCCCAACATACAAGTCAGAGTGATAGTGCTTCGCCGCCAACCGCACATCGCATCAAAGAAGAGTCCCCGTTAAGACAATCTCCTCGATACTCTCCGTACGCCAGGAAGCAGACGACGCCGCCGGACACAAAACCAACCATAAAGCTAGAAACAAAAAACAGGGTCAAACTGGAACTGTATCCGACAAGAGATTCGGCATCAATCGAACGGATAAATCACTTTCTCTCTTTGGACAACACCCTGCTCACGCCTAAGCTCAGGACTGTCCTTTCTCCCGAGGTACGTAGTAACCAATGGCAGACTGATTTGCTCAAACCTCCAACGTCTCGCAATCTCCCCTGCTCAAAGTTTGGGCTCTCGTTGATTCACCGCACATTCTGCGCCGCAGAACCGATACTTCATCCTTCGCTCGGACAACGCTACCGATATTGAAACTAGTGCCGCGCATGACGTGTGGACTTCCAGCTCGCGCGTCAACAATATGCTTGACAAGGCCTATGCCCTATCAGGGGGCCATGTCGTGATGCTATTCTCTGTCGTCCTGAGGTACGTTTGTTCACACAGTGCCCAACTCAGGCACAAATGAACTTGTCAGGGGGTTGGTTGGCTACATGTAGCGGGAGCTAACTAGAGACCCCATCATGGGATCCGTTGAACGCAGCCGTAAGTTCTGCGGCATCGCCCGCATGACGTCGCCCCTCGACTGGGACAACACGGATCCGCATTGGGTCGAGGACGTCTGGGAAGGGCGGTTCACGTTGGAATGGCTGAGTCTCATCGAGCTCCCGTTCGATGGTGTCAAACATGTGCCCGTCAAGGAAAGCACGCCAGGGTTCCGGGCAATCTCGTGTTATGACGGAACGCAGATCTCGAGGGGCAGCGCGTGGGAACTGTTCCGCGCGTATAGTGCTGAGGAGAGAAGGCAGCAACTGTGAGCTGTTGACAGATCTCTTTTGGCGTTATCCTTTGCAGCTAAGAACAATCATGTGCCCTTATTGCAGGTGGCGCCTGCGGTACCTCGCCCCCGGCGGTGTCACTCCTGTGTTACTTCTACGGCGCTGTGCCCAGAGTTTGCCTAGCCTTCAGTTGTTAACTGCATGAAAAAACCGCGCCCTTGAGTGGCCACAGAAAGCCCATACTGACAACTAACCCCTCATGCATCGATATCACAATACCTTCTGTATCGCCGTGGGAATTTCCCAACTCGGCAGATGATGCGCGACAGCCCAAGGGTGAAGACAGGATGTGACACCGACGTTTTGGGACCTGATCGGCTTTTTGGAGAGGAGCTGAAAACTGCATGCATGATGCAACTTACTGCAGTGGCTGCATGAGTCTGGGTAGCGATTGGGCCAGTCACGGCACCCTTTGCCGGAGCTGAGACACCGTGACGCTGTTCTCGATGGTGTCATGACGAGAGCCTTGCGACTCAAATTGGTTGGATAAGTTGCAGATCGCGACAAATACGTTGACCCCTCTTTCGTTAAGCATCTCTGTTCTCTTTATAGAGGGAGTCTCGCGTTTACCGCTCGATGCTTTCTACCCCCTCGAAATTTGGAGACCCCGATTATCTGATCATAACACTGCTTAATCCAAATGGCGGACGATGGCAATCTCGGCCTGAGATTGGCGTGGGCACAAACCGTTGGAACCTTTGTTGGCCTTCTGGCCATCGGTCTGGCTGTTGTCGCCCTCCTGATTGAACGGGTCCGGCGTGTTCAAGCTGCCGACGAGCGGCGGTTTACGTCCGAGGACTCGGCATTGGGCTGTTTCCGTGCCAAAAGCGTCTCGCGATGGAGTTCGCTTTGGGGGGACACAACGGAGACGCTCCGGTTGCCTACAGTTGCCGGACTGATCGAGGTCGGGGACAGGGGTGGCTGGACAAGCAGCGCGTTGGATTTCATGATCGAGAACCACCCCAAGGAAACATGGGTGAAACTGTACGAGTCCATCATGACTTCCATCGCGTGCAACGCCGGGGTCTTGGAAAAGGACTGGAGAGGCGAGGAGGAGCCCGTCCTGACATTCCTTGGACGCATTGAAGGAAACCATCATCGGGAGCACCATGTCTCGGGCTTGTGGAAGGCCCGTCAAAGTGCCTATCAGTCCACGCCTAGGAAGCTGCTCAGTCTACAACGACAACTGGAGCCGCCTGCGGGTCAAAACCAGAATCCGAGCTTCCCAAGCCAGCAGCCCGCTACCACCCCTGTCCCACCACGGAGCGGGAAACGAGGACTTTCTCGCCTGACATCAACGTTGATTGTACGGGATAAAGCCTGCATCAGCGTGACGAGAGAGGAACTGGCAGCGCTTATCATCATCTTGGGCGTCGCTCTTCCTAATCTTGAGAGCCACCGCTACGTTTCTGGGGTGGGCGGGTTCGGACTGTCTATCGACATCAACCATGCTGATGCCGCCTGGTCCATCAACATCGTTCAAGGGTCGCGGCTTGCGCGGCATGCACCATCCATGGGAAGCGGCTACACCACGCTGATGGCTAAGCATCTCGCGTGCGGGAGCGTTCCCTTTGCAAAGGCTCAATCCTGGATCCTCTCTGTATACCTGACCGATGAGGTGCTAGACGCCCTCAAGGCTGGCAGCTACGTGATCGACAAACGGGCATTCGGCGGAGACTCATTGGAGTTCCTCCGCCGTCTCCCTGGCGATAAGCTCATTGATGCTTTCTACGGGACCGAGAATGCTGCTGCCGCCGTCAGTTCCAGTGGTGTACCGAACCAACAAAAGCATGAGGCTGGTTCCATACTCCATGCCGACCGCAGATTGGCAGGAAAGTGGTCTCGTGCCGTCACAGAAATTGCTTTCGGCGGGCTGGTGCCGCAGGCGAGTCCCAATGTCGTATCTGCCACCAAGTTCACGATTGGAGGATCGAACCTGAATGGATGTGTTGAGAACCTTGAGCTCCTCGTCGATGAACTTCACAGACTCGAAAAGGATGCAGCCTTATTCGGAGAAAATGTACAGAAAAGAGCTCATGCTAGCGGGCACGCTTTCGTCAACTACACATTTCCCTCTGAGAACAGCAACCCGACAGATGCTTCGGCCATCTTCGCACGATATTCAAACCTACTGGAGAGAGTCGTAGCACTGGCAGTGGGCCAACCCAGGGGCGGCACAGAAGCCCATCTCGATACCTTCGGAAGAGAGACGCATGACCTAAACGAGCAGGACATCTTCGAGGCTACTGCTTCTCACATACAAACCGTCTACGAAGCTGCGGTTGATCTTGATAGTCATCCCTCGAACACAACCATCTCCCGGAGCGTGGCGGCGCAAGATTTGGGAGAGGCCTTGGAGGATGTCATCACAAACATCAAGGGCAAACGCTTCATACCGCTTTCCCATTGCACTGTTATTATTCGGTGTGTTTTAGCTGCTTGGGCTTATACGGTCCCATTGATCGAAGTCAAACAAGCAACTGGCCCCGCAACTCTGGGAGTGTCTGGGAAGATTCGGAACGAAATCGTGCTGGCAAATCTTCCACCCGTCTCCGCACTTGGTTAGTGCTGCCCAAATGCCACGATCCGTCATCGACCATTTTTGGATGCCATGGCTTCTGATCGGGCACTTGACACAGAGGACCATGGAGCATCAAGTGGTGTGATCCTGGCATCCACTGGCGGCGATGAGATGGGAACATATTATATCACCGTCCAAGTCACATTGACGTCAGCCTTTTGGTACACTTCTGAAACAATCAATGCAATTTCCTCTACGCTAGCTGAAGTAACCCTAAAGCGCAGAGGTCCTCCTAACGCTATGGACAAGGGAAACCGTACCGCAAGGGCCGGGTAAAATGCCTCGTCGACGCCAAACTTCCCGGCCATCAACGGTCAACAGGGATCGTGGATTGCATGGTGACGAACGAGGCACCGCCGTCATTGGAACCAAGCTCGCTGATCAGCTGGCCGGACGGCTGGGTGTAGGCGCGGATCCAGTCTGCCATCGTGGGGACGTGAATCGACGCAACAGGTGCGTCGGTGATGACGGTCTGGAGGGCCGTCGTGCCCTGCCATGACCCGGCCTTGGTCCAGGCCGTCCTGACGACCGTGTTCTGGTCGTTGACGGCGAAGACGTTGATATTGTAGTCGCCCCAGTGAACCGCCGAGATGTAAGCGCCCGGGGCAAAGGTGCCGCTGGGGTTATAACCACCTGAAAGTTGGCAACGACGTCAGCTTCAGGAGTAGGAGAAGCGAAAAGTAAGAAAAAGACAACAGGGAGGTGGTTTTGTGACAGCATCTGCGAGTCACAACACCCGCTCCAAATCCGACTTTCACTTACCGACCACCCAGCCGCGTTGCGGCTGCAGGACGTACTCGACAGGTTGGGTGTTGGCCAGCTGATAGTACACCCAAACCCGCTGGTTCGGGCGGTTGGCGGATGACACGGCCGAGATGCTCGTGCCGGGGATGGCGGGCGGCAGGTCGAGGTTGCCCTTGACCCAAGTCTCGGTCGCCGGCTGGAGAACTGCCTCTGCCACCTTGTTCTCATTGTCCTGGTAGTAGACACGGATGTCGGCGTTGTCGACGCTGAAAGGCACAGCGCCGACCTGTGAGTAGGGGGCGGCCTGGAACCTGGCCCTTGTCAGGGCCCCGTCGTACCAGCCGCCAGCGGCACCGCCCGAGTAGCAGCGCTAATAAGGGTTAGTACGTCAGCTGTTAAAATATGGGTGGCGGGACGAGAAATAGGGGGTAAGGGTATGGATCGATGATTACCTCAACAAGGTGGTTGTCCTCAGAGAGGTAGTAGATGCGGATCTGTGAACAACCGGTGATAAAATGGTCAGCGTACAAACATTTGATCAATACGAGCAGCACAGCTATGGGTTTGGATCCGTCTGTCCGTCTTGTTTACCGGTGAGAGGGAGAGCTCATACCTGGGTTCCGTTGGCCCATGCGATGGCGGCGATGCCTGTGTTGAGCTTGCCCTTGCCGATAACGTCCTCAGGTCGCTGAGCCCAGCCATTGCCGTTGTCGTAAAAGGTCTCCCTAATGTAGCCCTCAGCATCCTGGTAGTAGATACGGATGTGGTCGCCGTTGCCGTCAGCGAAGGCGATGGCGCCTAGGTTACTGCGGTTGAGGATCGGGGCCATGTTGAAGGGAGTGAACGAGATCCTTAGCGGTGGTGTAAGTAGGGTGTGTTAGTGAGAACTTGTCAGGTTATGAGAAAGTTGCAACTGTTGAGGATGAGCTGGGGGAGTTGAGGAAGACCTCGGCACCTTTTATGTCTGGTCTGGGGCCAGACATCTAATAATCACGCCAGCGACCGCAGCCCAATAGGAGTCTCTATCACGGCCATGCTCTGATTTACGTCCCAGTCTGGCAATGTGCATCCTCGCAACTGTTCAATCATGTTGGCTGTCCACTGTGGCGTGTTTTTCAAGCAATCCATAGCCTCTAACATGACCTTCGTCTTTTCCAGCCCCTCCGTGGGCTTGCATATCATGCGACTCCATGTCTGAGACGCTACCTGTATCCAATAAATTCCGTCTCACACAACGCAACATGCGTCGCGCATTCAATAAACTCTGCAAGGCAGGGCCGTGGTCCCTCGAATGGATGAGACCTTGCCAGTTTGTGTTCTCAGGCTCCTCTCCTTCCCGGTACGATACATCGTGATATTTAGGATGATGACTAGTTATGCGCTATCTATTTTGTCGCCTGCACCTTTTAAAAAATGCTAATTTCAATGTCCATTGGAAATCTCATGTCAGTCCCCCGTCCACTACAACACCGGCTCGATCATCTTCTAGGGTCTAGACTTAGCTACCTAGCGTACCTATCCAGCCCCGTGTTACACAACATTTACATTTACGAAATTAAAAGTGCGGTTGCATGTCGCTATTGTGACGCACCATAGGAGCCCTCCCTCGTTTAACAATGCACCAATGCCGGACCATATCCTGTTATGTACAGCAACGCGAGCCCCATCCACATTGCCAGCGGCCTGGGCGGCACCAGCGGCGCCAGCGGCATCTGCGGCATCTGCGCTATATGCGGTATATGCGGTACCTTCGTTATTTGCGGCCTAAACACGGTTTCTTGAAGTTTCTGGACAGCTTTCGTTTCATTCCTATGGCCGAAGATTTGATCAACAGCTGCACTTGGATTTCGATATTTCTCTGTCCATTGGCAGGGTGGTTGCATTGTGAGTCGCGGATAACCAACACATTTGTAGAGTTGAAATATACCTTTGCCAGCGGAGAGACTTCAACCTGCCTTTGGTCGGACACCTAGCTTGGAAACTAATTCCGTGTAATTAGGTTAGGTACCTTGTGTTCTTCGCCCAGTTGGTGTCCCTTAGTTAACCACTTAGATTTCTCTGCATATGTGGTCTGGGCCAAACGCCTTATTTGCGAATGCATTTGACGCCCGGTCCTCGAGTATGTTGGTATCATGATCCCGTCGGAGCCGGTCTTGGGACTCGAGTAACTTACCTCCACCACGAGGCTTATATTTCCTAATGAATCCGTCGTGTTTCATCTCCATTATCGCAGGTCATCTACATCAGTATTTGGAAACTTCGGTAGTCCAGTAGGTACCTAGGTAGCCGAGCCATCCCATAAAATTTACGAAGCAACTTTACTAATAACCTTTTCTACTCATTATAACCCGAATTCTTTCATCTCCAATTCCTGTTTCGTATGCGTACTTGACCTATGAACATCTATTCTGCTACCAAAGAGTCGCGGCTTTTCTTCCTCAAATACCTTGGTCCCTTCACGGCTTGTTAGCTTGGAAATCCGGTCTGTATGCAACCCATTCCCTGTTCTACATCGTCTACGTAGGGAGCGTGGGGCGCATTGAACTCACCAAGGCGGTTCCGAGGCCCCAAAGACGGTCTAAACGAGCGTGACAACGACCGTTTCTTGGAAAGGGGGCGCAGAGCCGGCGGGATGAGCTTCCCCAACTTACTGCGCATAATGGTCTCGGAGTTCCGACGTGCATCTTCATCAGGATCCTCCTGAGACTCGTGGCCGAGCTGGCGGTCGGCTTGCGGATCGATACCGAGCTTAGGGCGGCGCTTCGTATTGGCCCGCCAGGAATTTCTAGCCGTCACTCGCCCTTGACTCGGGAGTTGGTTCCTGATGCGTATTAGACAGAGTAAGTGACGCTGAGAATGAAGAAGCGATTTGACGGGGGCATACCAGACTGCCCTACACCCCTCCACGGTTTGGAATCTGAGTGCCTGGAGGGTACCAGAGTATACGCTCATCCAAGCGAGAATGGTGTCTAGATTGGTCGCAGTTAGCTGTAGAAGTGGTGAAATGGGAGGTTTAGCTTCTCGCCTTGCGATCTCTGGATAGCATGTTTTGGCAACCGTTCCAAAAGTAAGGAGCGACGCGGTTCATCTTCCGATAAGACCTCGATATGGGGATTGCCCTAAGGATTGATATGGAGTTAAGTCAGCGGATTCTTGTCTACTTGAAATGGTTAGCAATGGATGTCGGGGAGTCGTGAACGCACCCCAACGAGACGAACTTCCCCGTAGCCCGTTCCACGGCCCCGCCATTCGTTACCCATCCAGAAGTAAATCTTGCAGCGGGTTCCCGAGTCCAATAATCGTACTCGTCGGAATCCTCGAACATCGTCAACGCCCTCGGCCTCGCTCTTCCTCTTGGGAGGTTGTGGTCCGACTCCGGGTAAACGGTCAGGGGATTGAACCTTTTCCGACAACGTAGTTTGGTGTAGCGGCGGCGGCATCTCGTCAGATTCTTCTCTCACCCGACGGAAAGTGACACCGCATTTCTCGCTAGAACCAGGTAAGTCTACGGGCTCAATGATTCCAAGTTGATGAGCTTGTACATACCACACCACTTCTCGGTCAGGTGCCGATCCAGATTCGGTTCCACAACTAGGACAGGTTGACGTTGTCGCGTTCTTGAGACTTTTAAATACCATGCTCATCGAAACGCGTTGGCCGGGAAAAAAACAAGTGCCCCAGTCGCTGGTAAGGTCGACATCTCGCTTCGTGCCGTCATCCTCTATCACGAATTCGCCACGCTCAATCTTTTGGGACCCATTTGACTTGAAATTCACCTTCAAAATCGCCATAAATGCTTCTGCCGACCGCACGAATTCCAGGTGGAAGGGCGATTCCTTCCCAAACGCATCAATCATGTAGACGGGCTGTTGGCGGTTGATCTGCGATGGGACTTGCAGAATGTACTGGTGGATATCGAAGATCATTTGGAACACCCGCAGGTTCGTCTGAATAATCTTTGCTGTGGCGTCGAGGAGCGCCTTTCCTTGTTGCACGCTGTGGTTGACACCATCCGTTATGACAGACAGCTTGCTGAGCCACTGCACCGAGGACTCTTGTATCCTGCCAGCCAGTGTATTTTGTCTCTCGTTCTGCCTCCTCGACTGCATGGTGGTAGCCTCCATCTGTACGGCCAACAAGAGAACCTGGATCGATCCGGTGTGGCCCCTCAAATCCGCCTTGAACTGTTCCACGTCGTCCTTCTTGCACACCGCCCACTTGATCTTGATCCATGAGTCCTTGATGCGGGATCCCGTGCCGCCCTCTTGCAGGTGCGGTTGGTATTTCTGTATCTTGTCCCAGAACTTGTCGATGGTACGCTGGCAATGGGCTGCAGCCTGTCGCAGCGCTATTTTCTCGGTGCGTTGTCCATCGTCGAGGTCGAGGCGCTTGACGTGTAACAGGGCGGTCTCGAGGGCAAACAGCTCGGTAAGCAGCTCGCGATAGGCGGCACCCGAGTCGGAGGCCTCGCGCAAGGCATCAATGACAGTGCCCACGAGGTGTAGGGCGGCGAGGAAATCACCAACGGAGAAGCCGAAACCGACGGACATTGGGTAGTGGCTGTCTGGAGGATTCGTGCGATGAGAGCAATCGGGTTCTAGCCGGACGGAGCCGCAAGCAGGTAGGAAGCATTATAGAATAAATAGGCCAGGCAGGGCATTTAAAGGTCGGGGGTGGGATTCACAGTTCAGGAGGCTTAGACCTCAAAAGCCTTTGCGGGAGGCCTTGGTGATACCGCCCCTTATGCATCTTCACTTCGCTGTGATTGGATGACCATAGCCAACGAAAAGCGGCCGCATCCTAAGCCACAAGCTCTCTGCGTCGCGTGATGGCAATGGCACAGCCTCATTCGATGGAAGAGGGCAGAAATGGGAAAAAGTTAAACCCTATTGATACGGAGGAGACACAAACACGCACAATAGGCATTAGGGGAAATCAAGGTGTTCAAGAGTATTGGGCGAAAACATGGGGTCGAGCAAAGGGCAGCAAAGACTGAGAACAACTTAGGCGCGAGGAGCTATCAGAATTACCTGACGCGAGGCTCAGCTGGCTGCCGCTCCTCGCCAGAGGAGCGGTCCAGAACAAAGCCGGTTTTGAGATGCTCAAACCTCGTCAACTTCTTCAACGCTTCCACCCTCTCCCGATCCCACAGCGCAAATCCAGCGAGCCTCCACAGCTCTAGAAAATATGTATGCTCTCTTTCCCACGCCATGCTGACTGGAGGAGGCCACAAGGGGATGACGTCGAGGCCGGCGCCGTACCAGCGAACATAGCGCCCGCCCATCGCATCCGCCCAGCCAAACGGCACCTAGTCGAGGCCTTCCCGAACCACCTCGCTTATCGGCAAGCGCTCCCACGGCGTCCTATCGAAATCCACACCAGGGACCACATCCGACAGGCCGAGATGCCAGGCCCGCGTGAACGGGGACAGCTCGTACTGCTCCGCGAGCCCGCGCCACACCTGGTGCTCGTGCGGCAGCGACCCCCCCGCCTGCACGTCATCGATCGCGGCCGCGGCCACATCACGATGCGTCCGCAGATAGTCCACCAGGCAGCCCACATGCGCGTGGAGGTCGCCAAACTGGCGGGGAGCGATGGCGGCACAAGGCCACGATGAAGCAGTCGGTGTGGTCGACCCGCTGCATGTCCCAGGGGCGGAAGGGGGCGAGCAGGCCCGTGCGCGTCTCGTGGAGGACGAGCACGTCCCTTTCGTCCCAGTCGAGGCTCGGCGGGCGCAGGGTCGGCGCCCACGCGTTGCTGAGGAGCTGGCGGCGGTAGAAGGCTCGCGTGATGTGTTGGCGTTCGGGCCGCGACAGGGGTGCGGTCGCTGGGGTCCCGTCTCCGCCGGCGAGGGAGAAGGCGGCGAGCTGGGTTGTGATGTACGTGTCGGTTAGGAAGTTGATGAGGTGGAGGGTGCGGCAGAGCGAGGTCAGCTCTTTGAGGTGCGGGAGGCCGGGGTCGGCTCGCAAGGGGCTTCTCAGGTTGGGTGGCAGCTCGTTTTGTGGCAGCATATCCCGGTACACGCCTGCCATGACGCGGATGTCCTCCCAGTATTGTTCCCACTCGCCGTCCCCTGGCTTAGAATAGGGGAAGGCAGACAGAAACCTGGCATCGGGCAATGCAGGGCCGAGTTCGTTTTGGAGGATGCGAAACAGGATGGTTTACCGTTGTCTTGTGAAGCGGTAGTACGCAAAGCGCGCGGTAAAAACCAAGTTGGCGAGGTCACGGATCGTGTTCACCTCCGAAATAATCTTGTCAGACAATTCGGCTGGGAGAGCACCGAGCCAAAGCCATTCTTGTGTCATTTTGCCAGTCTGGGTCCCGGGACGACGATTCTACTACAGCCGGCGGTTGGTGAACGCGCGATAGAGCGGGGCCGCTGAGGGGAAAGGTGATCGGGTCTATGTGCTGTTTCTCGCCTGGCCTGTTGGCTGTTGCCGAGTCAAGTAGCTACCTACCTAATAGGTACCTTGGACAGTCGGCGATTTAAGTCTCCATAGTGATGGCGCACTGTGTAATTCACCCCAGAATCTTGAAACCGTCCCTCCACTCGCTGTCTGATCGTATTCGTGGATTTATTCGGAGTTCTACTCGGCATCGCTCCTTGTTGAGATTAACAGCGGGACATCTAGGCGCTTGAAAATCAGGTTGTGTTCGTGATTTCAGTTCAATGTTTGCACCGGGACAGCAGAGCTCAGATGGTAGATTTGGGCAGGTGTAATCGGAAACATGCTGATGTATGGTGCTGTTGCAATGCTCAGACTGGTGCTCATGGTAATGGGACTATCATAACGTATTCCCTGATTCATTCTTGTAATAGATAGCGAACGAAAGATAACCACCTACAAAGCAATGTAGGAAAAGATCTATCCTCTCCGGACATGGTGAAGAAGTACCTAAGATAACAGGACGGAGAAATAACGGGCAACTGTCTCACTCACAGCCCGCCTATACAGCCAGTAACTATCGTACACGGCCTGTTACATAATCTGGTGGCCTCCCGGCAGCTCCGTGAGCCCTAGTTAAACCAAGTTAATATGTCGTTACCTCTTTCATCAAGATTGCCTAGAAACGGAAACTTACAGCCATCGTTGTCCTCCTTAACAGAAGGCTTGACGGTGCACGCGTTGGCCTTGTCAAAACCCTGGGTGGTCAAGCCGTTGCAGGTTGGGCCGAAGCAGCGGTTGTCCATGGCGTGTTGCAGAGAGTCGTCTTTCCAGCCGAAAACGTAATCGCCGTGTTGGCCGTAACCAGTACTAAATGGGGTTAGAAAACTAGAGAAACTACAAAATAAGGGGAACATACGGGTCACCAGTGGAGAGCACAAACGGCTGTGACCCATCCTCAGGCCAGTCGGCCTTGTTGTTGAACTTGGTAGTGTCCCAAACAACCTGCCAGCGTGTCAAGAGCAATTTCAATGCACAGTCGAGGCTTCAGAGCTTTGTACCTCGTAGTGAACCTGAGGGATCTTAACCGGGTGCGTATCCGGGCATTTACCATCGACCATAGCGAACGAAGCCGGGCCATTCGTGGGGTGAGCGACGTGATCAATGTGGTTTGGCGAGTCCAGGTTCTTGCCATCCCAGCAGCTGTACCGCATGTGGCGTCAGTTATGTATTCCCAAAGCACCATAATCCATGTTCAGAAGGTCACCTACATGGGGAAGATGACACTCGATCGGATACCACCAGGGCACGGCGTCGTCGGGAAACTCTCGGTGTCACGCTGCGGGTCGAAGCATGGCGAGTAGGTGTTACCGCCAAAGTTAGGGCCGGTGTAGCAGCGGAAGCAGCTCTGAATGCCGCGCCCGAGGTTGGTAGGCTTCCTGCGGGAGACGTCGCCAGAGAACATGCGGAAGCCCTGCCCGGTTCGTGAGCGTCTGCGTGCTGTTTGTTGTATTAGAACTCGATCAGGGGCGGGCCCGTACCGGCTTGAATGCAGTAACCGTGTTGGGTCCTGGAGCAGTGTAGTACACAGTGATGCCGCCGTTGGCTGCGCCGATCACGTCGTTAACCATCTGGGGGACTCGCTTGAAGGTGCCGTTGCGGGCGCGGTAGTAAACATTGGCGGTCCAGTAGTTGGACAGGTCTTGATCGAAGGTGCAGCTGGTGCACTGTGCCAGCTTGGAAATATCGGTCGAGGGCATCGAGGCGTTGAAGGCATTCTATGAGCATTAGTTGCGAACACTCGGCAGAGGTACGGAGTGGATGAGCAGGTAGGTAGCCTTACACCGCCGACAATCTGGTGTACGTGAGCCGACGGTACGTTGCCGGGCTCAACAAGGCTTAGAATCAGTGTTAGTAGAATGTATCCCTCCTCCTCTTGACAAGACGCGTGTGACGTACGGATCGATGCGGTCGATGCTGAGCTCAGAGCAACCAAATCGCAGCATGGTGGTGCTGAACTGCGCCTGAACGGCGGGCACCGAAAGCAGACCCAGCAAAGGAAGCATCGTGTAGGTCGATGAGTTGCGACAAAACTACCTAGAAGCAATGGGCAAAATGTGACTGCGAGCTTCAGAGCAGCAGGCTCAGTTGGGTCAACGAAACGAGGAGAAAATCAATAGATGGCGATCGGATCTAGCCGGGCCGCATGCGCTCCTTAAAATGTCCGAACGAAAGAGAAGCTGATATCTTTAGAATATGGGCAATGCAAGTGCCGGCCTACGGTGGAATGCTGGTGGCCTATATTGACAACATTACCCAGGCCTATCAAAGGCTTCAGCGTTGATGGATCGCCAATCCCACGCATTTTACCGGATGGACTGCCCAGTACAAACCCTGTGGGGGAACCATGTCACGGTAGGGCTATATTACCTAGGTACGCCACAAGGTAGCGTTGGACCGGTACGCCGGCATGCTCGTCGGCACTCACATGAACAAACACGGCAACCAAACTTCTGTCAAACCCATCTCTTTGGGGGCATTGACGTAATTTCGGACCCTCGGCATCCTATTGAGGCATCTAAGTCCCTGGTCCAATCTATATTCATCTGCAGTGATTCTAGATTGGAAATATCCAACAACTGATCCAAGTATGCGGCCCAATGGGCGGAGTTGCTACAAGACTTGGTGTTCTCGATCGAGGAGATCGACAATGCCAATGTTTCGGCAGAAGAACATTCTATGGAAGCCTCATGGAATTTGCTAGAACGGTTGAAAGATAGCGCCGCATTTACAAAATCCCTAACTAATATTTCTAGGATGATATGACCAATAACGGATAACGCGATAAATCAATGAGAGCTTTCGAGGCCAAGTTGACACTCCCCCACCCCCCGTCTGCCCTCATCCCAGCTAGGTAGGTACTTGTTAGGGTGTTGCACAGTGTATATTCTCTCAGGATCCTCAACCGCCCGTGGAATTTCAATTCCCGAATTATCCCAGGTTATGATGCAGTGGCCTACAATATGGGATATTTTATTAACCACACGAACAGTCGTTGTAGCATCACCACCTCCGAGGAAGTCGCTGCAGCCGCCGTGCAACCTGATTTTCCATTTTAGTCATGTAAGGTCGTATTAGTCTCTTGCATTTACTTTGCATGTCGAGTCACACGTAGCCTTACGCTGCTGACTTGACGGGTTGAACTGGTATCCCTTATGATCCGTGCTGCATCCCAACCCGGTCTAACAGTCCATGGCATAAGCTAGAGCTGTTTCTTTCTCGAGAACAGGACCATCCTACTGCAAATCATCTAGGATAGGATGCAGAGAAGATAACACGCCAAGTTTGCCAACCCTTAAATCGTAGCTCAAAATAAACTATCAACCCTAAAGCCCGACGGGCCTCGGCGTTTCTTCTCATTTTGACATGGCCGCGTCACTCTTCTCCAAACCTCGAGGTAAGCGGGCGTAACGAAAAAGGAAGTATTGCCGAGATCCTTCGGCAACTCTCAGAGACCTAGGAATATAAATCCCACCTGGGTAGGTAAGCACCGAGATTCTGTTATGGATCGCGAGCAGGAAGCCAAGCTGACCCTAACCCTCAAACAACCCCTTTTCGCCGTCAACATGCCCATCCTCGACACCCTCACCACTGTTGCTTCGGCTCTGTTTAGCAACCTTGCCCCATTCCACGTCCTCTTTTATTCTACACTTCTTGGCACAGAACTATTCCAAACTTTCATCAACACCAAAGTCGCCTTCATCGCTCTTCCTCGGTCCGCATTCACCACGCTCCAAAGACGCATCTTCCCCGTCTACTTCTTGAGCCAGACAACCCTGGTCGTTTTGAGTGCCATAACCTTTCCCCCACATGGCGTCTCTTCTTTAATTATGCGGAGGGGTGATTGGATCCCGTATGCCGTGGCAACGGTGACGTCAGTTCTGAACCTTGCCGTGTACGGGCCGAAGACGCAAAAGGCCATGGTCGACTGTGTACACCAAGGTGCGTAGGATGATTAAGCCCTAACCTTGTTGGATACCAAGTTCTGATGTCCTAAAAGAGACACGCGATAGTCGTAAGGCCCGGGAGAACGGTGCCATCGATGGATCTTCGCAAGAGACGAAGAGCCTTCGGCGAGCGTTTTCAAAGCACCATGCCATGTCTATCCACCTCAACTTGATTTCGATCGGGGCGATGGTGTTTTATGGGTGGCGCTTGGCATCTAGACTGACTGTACATACATAACAGCTTCCTACCTGGATGTACACTCCCCACCAAATGCCTGGCGCCCACATTTGAATTCTACAACCACCTTTTTGACAGCCTGACAGCTGACGAGGTTCGGAGCGTGATTGACGTCCGTCATAAAACCACATGTCAGCAGAGAGAGAACATTAATGAACTCTAATCTCATTGTCCAACTTTCGTCGTGCACCACGTGATTTTTTTGCAACCACAACTTTTCAGAATGGCCAAATTTATGATAGAAGTGCCAGTCAGTATCAGATCTAACAATGGAAACTAGAAACACCTTAGTTACCTAGGCAGAAAAGGCCTCTATTTGTTCGGCCCGAAAGGCCGAAATTTTGGGCAGGGAACTCACAGCCAAATATCGATGCATTTTGGCCAGGTACCATTCCACCCACCTTATAGACCGGATCTAAACAAATGCAGGTGTCACGAATATGCCAACAAGTGGGACCCCGGGGCGAGGGACGCCCCGGGCCAGTCGTTTAACGAACCAATCACAGAGTGCTCTAAGGAGCACTCCAGAGCCAAGGAGGACAGCCAGTTAGGAGCTGCTCTGAGGGGCTCTCGAGAGCCGTCGAGAGCTGTGAGCTCTAGCGGGCTCTTGAGAGCAGTCTAGAGCTCAGGAATGAGGTAGTATATAGTCACTCCATCTGGAGAGCTCTGGGAGTTCTCCAGTTAGCAATCACAACTACAGTTCGCTACAAGCTCGAAGAGCCTACTGTTAAGACAAGTCTTTGTTGTGCACCCTCTGGCTGCACCGAACCTAAGCACCCTTGAGAGGTTACCTTCAACCGACTCTGAACCCTAACAGGACAGGGTCCTGAAGTAGGTTCGTCACACCCACTCTGACATCCCTGAGCGGGTTGGTGTTGACTTTGTCCGGGAGTACTGCTCGCTGGTCTTGCCGCACATGAGCTGCGGGCCACGCGTCTGTGGCCAGTACCCCTACGAATACCGAGTAGCCCTGCCGCCGACGGGTCTCCCGATCATCTCTCGCCCGAGCTCGGGAAGCCTCGGGTGGTTCGATAACTGGCCCTTGGATCTGCTGACGGAAACCCTCGAGGGCATGGACATGAAGTCGATGTTGGCCTTCTCGCGGGTTTCCGTCCGGGCCTACAACCTGGTCCACTCGCTCTCGGCTTACAAGGAGGTCATGGAGCACGCCAAGGGGGCTGTATCCATCCTTGGCGCCACGGGGTTGCTCGCCCACCACTCCGCCTCGTCGCTCCGCCGCGCCCTCCGCTCCCCTCGCGCCTGTTCCGGGTTTGGGGCGCTCCTTTTCCTTCCGACGTGCCAACGAGCCTGCGGCGACTGCCTCATACGGAAAGCGGAGTTCCAGGTTTGTACTCCAGAGGAAGCCGGGGCGTTGTTCAGCCTTACGAAGGAGCAGCTCGCCTCGATTCCGGAGCTACGGTTACCCCCGGACATCTATGCCGTCGATCCAGACCACGACTTGCCCTGTATATCGGGCTCGTTGGTGAGCTTCAAGCAAGTGTACGATCTAGCAGCGCATTTGCCCAAGGAGGCGGCATGGTGGCATCCGAACCTCGATATCCAAGAACTCGTCGAGATCCTTGGCGGCAGCGGCCAGTACTCAGGCCCTAGCTACATCCGTTTTCCCTTCCTCGACGCGGCCGGACGCAACACGGTCGGTGGTGTCTAGGCTGCCTTCAGACCTACTCGGACTCGTCCCGGGGCAGGCTACCCGGAAAGGTCCTTGAACACTTCAAAAAGGAGGCCGTCGACGGCCGTGCGTCAACCCATATCAAGACCATGGCCGCTCGGTTGTGGTCTGAGGGGGAGCTTACCGAGCACGGCACAAACTGTTATGGCGTCCGCGTCTTATCTCGGAGATGGCACGGTGACCTTCAGGGCATGCAGCGGCGCCGACTTCTGGCTAGGAGCATGGCTCCAGCGAGGGCCATCACCAACCCCCTTGCCCTATCCTCGCCATGGCGACTCATGAAGCTCACAGACGAGACAATCAGAGAAAGGGCGGCGATGGTCAGGGAGCACAACCGCTGGATGGCGGAGCAACGGAGGCTGGACAAAATCCGCGACCCAGTGGAGCATTTCATACCCTACTCAAAAGACCACCTCCCAGGGGATTAAACGACCTCTACACCCCTCAAACACCATCCACCACCTCGGCAGCACCACCATCCACACCCCCATCCCCCTCCGGCAACCCATCCCCCAACGGCACAACGCGATCCCAACTCCAACCCATCCCCCCCAGCCTCCATCCCCTCCCACAACCTCAACCCCACCCCCTCTTCACCACCAGCATCCTCGCCCTCAAGAACCTCAAAAACCCTAAAATCCGCATTCATAAAAAACCGCCCCGTCACCCCCACCCTCAAAAACCCCGAATGCGACACCACCACCACCGCCTTCTCCGGGCGGGCGCGCAGGTCACGCAGGGCGGCCTGGCCGCGCGCGAGGATGGCCCGGCGCGTGCACCCGTAGATGGGGGCCGCGGCGGGCGAGGTCTTGTCGGGGTAGAGCGGGTCGACGGTGCTGAAGTCGACCTGGGGGAAGAGGGTTTGCAGGGTGGGGAGGGGGGTGCCGGTGTCGCAGGGGGCGAGAGAGGTTTCTGTGAGGTGGTGGTGATGGGGTTAGTGATTTAAAGAGAGCTTTGGTTGGAATCCAGGCCTGACTCGGATTCATGGTTGGGAAGGAAGGGGTAGGGTATTATTAATTATGGGATGAAGTAATTTTAACTCGATAACAATAAACAAATCATAGTTACCTTGCCACCCTGCATGAGCGACGATTGGTACCCCCTTGTCAATGAGGTCGCCGAATGCAAGTAGTGCCGTCTCAATGGTCCGTATTGAGGGACTGACGATGATGAGCCCAACATCGAGGTGTTTGAGTATCGTAGGTGTAATGTGGGCTTTCAGCTCGGCACATTGTTGGCGGCCAAGTTCTGAGAGAACCGGGTCATGCAGAGAGTAGTCCTGTGGGGTTTGTTAGTGAGGGTGATCTAAGATACTTAGTGAGGGATAGAAGTTGGGAACTTATTTTCTACGTTGTGTAGTGCCTGCGCGTGCCGAACGAGGATAACGGTTGGTGGCATTTTAGGGATTCGTTTTAGGTGCGGTGAAGTCGGAGAGAAGGGGATTATTAACACGGGTATGAGCAATTCAGGATCTAGGAATGTCGAAACAGCGAAGCGTGTAGCAATGCTCTCTTCTTGGTGTTGAATGTTTCAAGTTTGCGTGATGTTTAGGTGTGAGTCGGGCAACGGACCCACCACACTGTGCTTGGCTTGGCAGCCGCTGAACACAACACAGTGTGGATTTACTTTGTGCTGCCAAAGAACAAACTCCAACCAAACCCATTCCAGATCGCTGCAAGGCTGAACAGCCTCCCCAAACCTCCACTCGACATCATCACCTTGACAAGTCCGCCACCATGACGAGCATAGACGAACTTTTCCAAGTATGCATACATCCGCACCAATCCATTGCCATCCATCAAACCATCTAACCCTTCCCAGAAATCTGGACTCCCCAGCAAACGCAAGCTGGACCCCATCCGTGATCCAAGTATGTCTGCTCCCTCCTCCCCTGTCCTCCCTTCTTCCCACGCACCTCACTAACGCGACCAATCCCACCAGCCGAAGTCTACAAATCCGCCAAAGTCACGCCCTCCACCTCCCGACACGCCCACATCGAAGACAACAACGACCCCGACACCGAAGCCGGCCCCTCCCTTCCACCCCCCGACGACGAAGACGACTACGGCCCATCCGCCCCTCCCAACGATGATGAAGACGAACCCGGCGACGACGCAGACGGGCGCTTCTTCGGCGGGGGCATCACGCGCACGGAGCGCGAGATCCTCAACTACATGGACACGAACCCGGCCGCGGCCGCGGCCGCCGACGCAGAGGACGAAACCATCGACCAGGCGTGGCTGAAGAAGGCGGCGCTGGCCTTTGAGAAGAAGATTACGCGCAACGCCGAACTGCGCGCGCGCTACGAGTCGGACCCGGCCCGTTTTATTGACTCCGAGGCGGACCTGGATGCTGCCATCAAGGCGCTGTCGATCCTGTCCGAGCACCCGGAGCTGTATCCGGCGTTTGCGCGCCTGGGTTGCGTGGGGAGTCTGGTGTCGCTGCTGGCGCATGAGAATACGGATATTGCGCTGGATGCGGTGGAGATTGTGGGGGAGTTGACGGATGAGGATGTGGCCGCGACGGAGGAGCAGTGGGGGGCGTTGGTGGATGCGTTGGTCGAGGCGGATTTGTTGGGGTTGGTGGTGAGTAATTTGGGGAGGTTGGATGAGACGCAGGAGGCGGATCGGGAGGGGGTATATCGCGCGCTCGGGGTGGTAGAGAATTTGTGTTCGAGGTTGGAGACGGCCGAGATGGTGGGAGAGGAGGAGGCGTTGGTGAAGTGGTTGTTGGAGAGGGCGGGGAGGAAGGAGGTGCCCGTGGGGCAGAATAAGCAGTATGCGGCCGAGATACTGGCGATTTTGGTGCAGAGCTCGGGGAAGAATAGGAGACGGCTGGCGGGGTTGGATGCGGTGGATCACATGCTGCAGCTTGTGGCGGCGTACCGGAAGCGGGATCCGGAGAAGGGCGGGGACGAGGAGGAATACATGGAGAATCTGTTTGAGGCTCTGACGAGCATTGCGGACGAGCCCGAGGGGAAGGCCAAGTTCGTGGACGCCGAGGGTGTGGAGCTCTGCCTGATCATGCTCAAGGAGGGGAAGCTCAGCAAGCCAGCGTCGTTGAGGCTACTCGACCACGCAGCGGGCGGGCCGGCTGGAGCTGGAGTCTGTCAAAAGATCGTGGATGCCGGCGGGCTAAAGACCACTTTCACCATGTTCATGAAGACGCGCGACAACCAGACGACGGAACACTTGGTGGGTATATTCGCCTCGATGCTGCGGTTGCTGCCGGCCGATTCAGCGGAGCGGATCCGCGCGCTCGCCAAATTTGTGGAGAAGGACTACGAGAAGACGGCAAAGCTGGTCCAGTTACGGCGAGACTATGCGGCGGTTATTGGTCAAGTGGATGAGCGGATCAAAGAGGAACGAAAAGGCATGGACGCTGCGGAAAGAGAGGAAATGGCGGGCGAGTGGTTCTCGCGCCGTCTCGACGCCGGTCTCTTCCGCCTCCAGACGATTGACGTGATTCTCGCGTGGCTCATTGCCGAAGACAGCGGGGCAAAGAAAAAAATCCAGACGCTCTTGGCCGATAGGGATGAGTCGTTTGCGGATATTAGGGGAACTATCCAGGAGCAGATTGATGGCATTGACGTTGAGTCGGAGGAAGGGAAGGAGACGAAGGAGATGTTAAAGACGCTCGTCCAATTCCTTCAATGAGGTGGATACGGAAGTCTTATAATAAGGAAGTGTAAATCAACTTAGATACCAAGATACCATGGCCACCGGCCGTTCTCACGATCCTTGAATGTCACGTTCTGAAGGTCCAATTCGTTGACACTAGCCTAGCTCGAGCTTATGATGCTCTGACCGATGCAGCGTCGCCATCATACATTGTTTCCCACGACCCGTGCTGTCTAATCCTTCCCGTCATTCGCAGAGTCCGTACGATAAAGCAGCCCGCCATGTACGCCCCCCTACCGCCTTCTCCATCCCCCCCATGTCGCTATTCAACCCTTCATGAAACAGGGGTAGGGTGCGCGTGGGAGACAGCCGAGAGCAGGTTCTTGATGATCTCGTCGCGGTGCTTCTTGCCAGCCTCCTGGATCTCGCTGATCTTCTCGTCCGCCTCCTTGTTCGCCTCCTCCTCCGCCGCCTTGTTTCCCTGCGTGTGCTGTGGCCACACAGTTAGCATCCCCCTCGGTAACGTGGCTCCTGGCAAGGTCGACAGACCTGTGCTTCAAACTCCTTGTACTCGGCTTCCTTGTCCGCGCGGTATGCCTCGATCTCCTTCTTGGCCTCGTCGCGTGCTTCCCTCACTCGCTTGGTGCGGTCTGGATGGTGTCAGTCGTTTGTCGGGCTGTCGGGCGCTGTTGGGACGTACACTCTCGCGCTGCGGTGGATGCATGTTAGTGCTGCTATGGGGATGGCTGACTGTCGGTGGACATACCCTTCTGGACAATCTTGGATGCCTCCCTCTCGGCCTACTCCGTGTCAGTCAGTGCTGATTCCCCACCGGTTTTTGGAGAAAGCGTCGCGCTATCGAGATCGAAAAGGGCCGTACATCGAGGAGGGTCTGAATGCCCGCTGAGTTCTGCGCAGACTGTCCCAACGTTAGCAAGACTCAAACAAGCCAGCATCCGGATCTCGTGTGAGAACGGCTCCGATGCAACAGCTCCAACCCGTACCATCTTAGGAGCTTCGTCTTTGGTTAACGATAATGGAATGTGGTAGGTGTAATCGTCAGGTGTGATCAAAGGGTAGTGCCGTTGGTATCAAGTGTCCCTGCAAAGAGTTGCAAGCACCGTTCAGTTGTTGGTCTCGAGATACAATGCAAGTCGTCGGTCGCAAGCAAGGCGGATGGAGCCGTCGGTGGAAACAAGCCATCCACCAACAGCCGCAGCTCGAAGGCGGCACAGCTTCCCCTGCCCGCGCTGACGGCACCGCCCCACCCACGCCCCTCACTGAACTGGCGCTCACTCGCTCGCTTTGCCGAGCCGAGACAGGCGGTGTGGCCCGGCAAAACAAGCATCATCAAGCTAAGCCGCCGCTTGCAACCGGGCTTCATCGGAGCATTGGTAACCGAACGAGGTCGACTCCAACACCAAGAAACCCACAGGATGCCTCTGCAATAGCGCGTCCAAGGTACCAATTCACGCCGCCCACCATGTCCCGCGCCTCCAAGATGACCCTTCTGGGCACCTCACTCTTTGCCATGAGCACGGTGGTATTTGTGCACTTTCAGCAAAAGGCCGAGCAACAGGTTCGTCATTGCCCCCCCTTCTCCTCGCTGGAACGGCTCCATTCGTCTCGACCAAGCGACCTAGGCTAACGACTCCCGCCACCCACCTCTAGGCGATGCACGAGGGTGTGATTCGCGATATGGAGCAGCAACGTATCAAACGTGAGCGCCAGGCCGACTTCGATATCCAGCGGGAGCTCGAGGCCGAGTACAAGAAGGAGCAGACGGTGCGGGACAGTACGGCGGAGGGATCCGGGGGGTCTGGAGGGACAGGGAGGTAGCCTTGAACTTCGCGAGACGTCAGAGGAAACGGAAGGGTGGCATGAGGAAAAGACGTAGGACGATACCCACGGAAACGGCAGGAAAAGAACCTGGGAGGCTATGGCCACGAGGTGGCCCATGATGCACACCACACACCACATGTACCATATTGTAAACGATTATAACCACCACGCAAGATAGAGTCATAGATAATCTCCAAGTCGGTTGCATTTTGCTAAACGAAGCTACAGTATGGTATCTCACAACGCAATAAAACAAAACCCCCTTCCTCAAAACTAAATTACCGGATTTTACTTGCAGAGTGGTTGTGATGGAATCGCAAAGCCCTTCACCCTTTGCCGGCATCAAACGGGGCCACCGTCCAAACCACAACCGCAGCAAAATCCACGCTTCATACAAATCATAAG